TTTTTCCAAATGGAAAAATGGATGAAGGAAAAATAAGAAAATTCTCAGGAGAGTCTAAAAAGAGGTAAGAAGCTTAACAAAAAAGGAAAAAAAAATGACGAACTCAATGACGCACATTAAAATTACATTAAACATTCATGTCGTTTTTCTTTTTCTTTTTCTTTTTTCCAAAACGGGAAAATGGAAAAACATTTCCGGTCAGATTATTTTGTAAAAAAAAAAAAAATTTTCTTACCTTAAAAAATTTTATTATAATAATAAATAAATATTATTATTATTATTATAAAAGAAAGAAAATCTTTTGAAAGGAATTAAAAATAAAGTCAAGACAATTTTTTTTTTTACAAATACAAACAGGAAGAGAGAGATAGAGAGAAAGTGAGAGAGAGAGAAAAAGAAAGAGAGAGGGGGGGGAAAACCTTTCAAATCCCATTTTTTTTAACGGTAAATCTATTATTGAATGACTTGTGATATTGAATTAGAAATTTTCTTTTTTTTTTTCTTTTTTTTTTTTTTTGTCACAATTATCTAATGGCACGAATTTTATCATCATCACTATTATTATTATTATTATTATCATCTTTTTTTTTCTACGGATTACAATTTATTTTACGTAATGATAATAATAATTTTAAAAAAAAATTCGTTTTTTTTTTCCGATGAATTTCCCACGAAAAACAATCGAAAAACAATCGGAAACAAACCAAATGTCGTGTAAATAGAATTAAATCATATAAAAACGGAAATAACCGTCAAAATTTTTTTAGTTTTTTTTTTTTATGGAAAAAAAATTAACGGTTTTACGGATTAATTTGAAACGAAAAAAAAAAAAAACGGATGGTGCGTGTAATATTGAAATAAAAAATTATCTCGAAAAAAAAACGGAAATGACAAAGGAAAATTCATACGAGAGAGAGAGAGAGAGGGAAAAAGGAAACAATTAAAAAAAAAAATTTTCATTTCTCGTTTTTTTTTATTAACCAAAAAAGAAAACTAATAGTTTTATTTCTAAAAAACTAAATACAAACAATATTTAAATTTTATTATAAAATTCTCTTCCTCCCCTTCGCCCCTTCATCCCCTACTCCCCCACAATTCAATTAAAAATTTTGTCATTATTATTATTATTATCATTTTCCAGAAAAAAAAAAATAACGGTCCATTGATTTTACCTGTTATTTTTATAACATTTATCCACCTGGTGGGATGTGTTATAAAATCACCTGGAAACCGGAAACACCTTTCTTACCCTTAACAATAATAATAATAATAACAAACAACAACAGTTAGACTTTTTTTAAAATAAATTTTTCCTTTTTTTCCACAAGAATTTCCAAGCAAAATTTATCATCATCATCATCATCATGGTGACGACGACAGCACGCGCACTTGTTCGACAATTGAATTTTACCATCGTAATTTTATTTGTTACAAATAATAATAATAATAATAATAAATTAATTAATGAGATGAAATAGAAAAAAAAAAAGTATCCACGTAGTACCCTTTTTCTATTGTATCGGGGCGGGGGGAGGGGGAGGGAGGGAACGCGTGTCTTGCACGCTTTTTAAAAAGCCAAATTGAGAGGGAAAATTAAAACCTTTTTTCGGTTTTCTCACAATAAAGAAAATTCCCGTGTGACCGATGAGAAAATATCGTGGGAGAACAAAAAATCGTTTCATTTTATTTTATTTTCTTTTCATCATCATCATCATCATCGTCATCATCGTCATCGTCATCATCATCATCATCATCATCATCATCATCATCATCATCATTGTATCATCAAACAGAACCAAAAAATTTTCATTTAAATTTCATTTAAATTTCGACGTCCATTCAGTACATCACATCTTCCTTCGCGTAATGTTAAAAAAAGACGTGTCAGAAGACACAAAGATATTTTTGTATGAAAATCACATTTAATCGATCGTTATTAATTTAATTATAATTTATTTTAATAAAAAAAATTTAATTAAAAAATATTTTCAAAGGTTGTGACGTAAGCATACACAACTCTACTAAATAAGTTGTATTAATTTTTATTCATTTCTTTTAAGTATAAAAAAAAAAAATTGAAACTTTTTTTTTGTATAAATTTTATTAACAACGTTGTCAAGGCGATGATGATGATGATGATGATGATGATAACATTACACATTATTTACGGATGAAAAAAAATTTGTTATTTTATTAACTTCGGAATGTCAAATTCAATCAATTTAGGAATTCTTTCAATTTTCTTTTTATTTTATATATATATACACACGTATCAAAATAACTTCGAACTCGTTAATGTAAATTCTTTTCCCCTCACCCCCTCATCCCCTCATTCCCACCCTCCTACCCCTTCGCACCTCCTCCCTACAGGTTTCCATCCCGATGGTGGCGGTTTGACTTTTTTTTTTAATTAAATTTTCTTACAAATTTTTCTTAAAATCTCAGATAATAATAATAATAAACAATGTTTGGATTTCCATCAGAATTTTTTTTATAAAAACTTTTTATTAGCGACCAAACGAACGAACGAACGGATGACGAACGTGTACGAACGAACGCGTGCATTTTGTTTACAATTGCACGTGCGATTTAGTTAAAATCCTCCCCCTTTTTTCTAAATGAAATTTTCTTTTTTCTTATAGAAATCACCGTGGACGTTTTAATGAAACTGCGTTCCCACACTTTTTCAAATGATTCCGTATAATCTCGTATAAATTTTTGTTTTTGTTGGGGATGATGAGAACAAAAAAAAAAAAAAAAAAAAATGTCAACCGAAAAAAAAAAGAAAATCTCGTGAGATTGAAAAACAAAATGGAACACGAAAATGAGAAAAAAGGAAAAAAACTTTTGTTACAAACACGCTAAACAATTTTCTTTTTTTTATATATAATTTGATTGATTAAAAACAAAAAAATTTATTTATTATTAATAAAAATCATCGATAAATAATCAATCAATAATCAATCAATAATCGATAATAATAATAATAATATTTAAAAATCTTAAAATATTTCGGTTAAGATTTAAACGCTGACAATTTTTTTTTTATAAACCACAAATAAGAAAAAGGGGGGAAAAGAATAAAAAAGGAAATAAAAGTGGCAGAAGAATAAGAAGCAGAAGAAAAAAAAGGAAATACTATAAATTTAATAATAATAATAATAATAATATCTTAAGCTAAAAGTTGACACACAATAAAATTGAAAATTCAATTGAAATCCAATTTGTTCCAATTTCCTATTTTTTTTTTTTGTAAAATGGCGACAAAAAAAACCAATTTTATTTTTTTTTCCATTTTTAAATATTATCAATATGTTTATATAAAAAAATTTTTTTTTTATCTCAAAACTATTATTATTATTATTATTATTAGCTTTCGGGTAACGAATTTTCTCAATGTATTTTCCTCCATCTTTTTTTTTTTTTTATAATTGGACCTTTTTCCTAACGGTCGACAAACAAACAAAGCGACAAAGTCATTTTATTATTATTATTATTATTTAAGATTTTTATGCTTTTTGATTTTTAAACTTTTACCGACGCGTTTTTAATAATAATAATAATATTTTTTTCCCCGTATGTAAAAAACGATGTGACCACCTTGTTAAAAATTTTCTCTTTGATAATTTCATAACCGTTCACGTGTTTTATAATTATTATTATTATTCACTTGACCGCATCATTATGATGATGATAATAATAAATAACATTTCTTTCTTTTTGTAACAAATGAAATGATTTTTTATAAAACAAAACATTTCGAAACATTATTGTTCAACGGATATCCTCATTTAATAAAAATCAAAATGGCGGAAAGTGAAAATTTTAAATAACGGACGAATTTTATAATACAAAAAAAAAAAAAAAACGCATCGAAATGAAATTTTTTCCTTTTTTTTGTTCCTTTTAGGATTATTTAACAAACAAACATGATGTAGGGAGAGAGAGAGAGAAAGGGGGAGGGGGGAGGAGGAAAAAAAAAGAAGATTTGCGGATAATTGAAAAACCGGAAAAATGGGGATGAGACATGGTGACTGATCCGGATAAAAATCTTTCTCTCTCTCTCTCTCTCTTGGGAAGAAATAGATTAAAATAAGAACATTCTAGAAACAATTGAGTGTTTTACAATTAAATAAAGATTAATATAATTTCGGTATTGGTCACAAGTTAAAAATTACGAGTCAAAAATTTCTATTTAAAAAATTATTTTTACGATATTGGCACCCCTGTATAAAATAAATAAACAATTCGGTTTCATTGTTATAAAAAAATTATAATATTTTATCACGAATGTAAAAAAAAAAAAGAAAAGTCATTGCATGCAATGAAAAAAGTGTGAAATTTTTTTTTTTTTTTTTACGATCTTTCAAACAATAGAAATGCATTTTTGCAAATTTATATACATTAAAAAAAGAAAAAAAAAAAAAAAACATTACGAAATCCATTTAAAACGTATTTCCCCCTCCCCCCTTTCTCTCTCTCTTTTATCGATTTAAAAATTTAAAACATTAAATGTTTCCAGTAGAGTTTAATAATAATAATAATAATAATATTTTATATATAAAAATGGCGATAACCCATATTTATATAAAACCCTTCGTAAAAATTTTTTTTTTTTTAAACAAACAAAAAAGGATAAAAAGAAATTTTTTTTTTTTTGAAAAACGGAAGTTACGTCAACAAACAACAACAAAAAAACGTTACGTTTTTATAAGTGGTTAAAATTCGTTATTAAGTTCCCCCCAAAAAAAAAAAGAAAAAATCTTTTAAAAGAAAAATGTGAACAAATAAAAACAATAAATTGTTTACTGACCATCATAAAAAATACTTTTAACATGATCGGACAAAAAAATCTTTAAGTAAATAATTCTAAACCTTAAGAAGTAGCAGAAGAAAATTTTTGTCCATTTCCTCCCCTTCCCCCTCTTCCCCCTTCTTTTATTTGTTAAGTGAAAGAATAAGATGAAGAAAAATGAATAGAAATTTTTTTTTTTTTTTTATTAACGGTTATAATAATTAGATGGTATAAATGGCATTTTTGTAACCGTTGCCGGATATTGTTTTCCTCTTATTTTAACAAAAACTTGAGTGCCATTTTTAGAATATTTTTTTTCAACGTATCCCATTGAAACGGATCCACCTATGCTTGGTGATGGACAACCGCTTGTTATTTTACCAATTGGATTACCAGAATCATTTTCAATTATGCAATCGTGTCTCGGTGGGGGACCCTTAGTTGATTTTAATCCTATTCTTTTTTTCAATGTTCCTTCTTTTAATTGTTTTAATATAATTTCCCAACCTGGAAAATCTTTTCTTTCTCTCCTTTTTTTAGATACCAACCATGCCAAGGTAGCTTCTACCGGTGTGACCGATGTGTCTATGTCGTTACCGTACAAACAAAGACCAGCTTCGAGTCTTTAAATTTACAAAAAATGTTATATAACCTTTTCTCATCCTTTCATTAACAATAAATAAAGAGAAAAATACCTTAAAGAATCTCTTACGCCCAATCCGGCTAATTTAACATTTCCTGTTTTAGATTTTAAAAGTTCTCGAGTCACGTTTACTATTTTATCAGATGGTACAGATATTTCAACTCCATCTTCTCCTGTATAACCGCATCTCGTTACTCTACATCCAGGTACGTTTGCTAAAAAGAAAAAAAAAATGTACCGCGAATTACAAAAACAAAAAGAAATTCAAAATTCAAAATCACGTGACTTCGTCGTACCAAACTCTTACCAACTGTTGCCAACGTTGATTCCATGAAAAATAATTTGTCTAATGGTACGTCACATAATGGCTGAAGTACGGCAGGAGTTTCTGGTCCTTGAACGGCAATTAGAGACCATTCGTGTAAGTGTAAAAATTCAACGTCGACATTTTTATTTTCACTTTTCATTTCTTTCTATAATATTTATTATTATTAATATTAAATAATTAATTAGTTTTTTACTTAATGAAATTTATTCGTGTGGATTCTCTGAGTGGAGGAAACTGATTTCCTTAGAGAATATAAAAAAACCGTTGGAAAATTTGTAATAGTTAAAAATTTTTTTGTTACGCGCAAATTATTATTATTTTAAACAGTAGGAAATAATTAATCGTTTTGGTTTAATGTCAAAGGTCATAAATCCCCAACGAAGAACACATCGGAAAAATGATTAATTTTGTTTTGTGAGGAGAACATAGGGATTGGTTTTTATATCAAAGGCATTTTATATCGGGGGCGTGGGGGGAAAGAATTCTTACTTCCGTTCTCAGCATCAAATCTTTATCGTGATCTCTTCTTCCAGCATTTGACACGACGTACAAATAACCGTCACCGGTTTTAGTTACGATAAGATCATCTAAAATCCCTCCGGTAACTTTATCAGTGAATACCGTCAAACTTCCCTTATTTTCCGGTAATCCACCAACATCCGCCGTCGTGATTCTTTCAATTAATTCGATTCTATCTTTTCCGTGGATTTTAGTTTGAAGCATGTGCGACACATCAAATATGGAACAATTTTTTCTCGTGTGTAAATGAGATGATGTTATGCTATCGCTACCATATTGTACGGGTAAAAGAAAACCGGCAAAATCCACCATTTTCCCATTGTTTTCAACGTGGAAATCGTAAAGAGCCGTTTTAACCGGTTCAATTCCGGTCGATATATTTCTAACTAATAATTTTAATCCGTATTGAAAAAAATATGGAATTTTTAATAACTTCATGTTTCTAAAAATTTTAATTTAAATTTTAATTCATTGTTAATGTCCGCAAATAATAAAACAAATAACAAAAATAAATTTTTTGACCACCATTTTTTTTATTTATCCATATTGATTTTACCTCTTAAATTTTCCTCTCTCTCTCTCTCTTTAAATCCGCAAAATTTTCTTTTTCTTTTTCACTTAAATAAAACTACATGTTTTAAATAAATTTAAATTATTTAAATAAATATTTAATTCGACTTATTAAAAATTTAATTTTAAACTATTTAATTTACGATGATAATTTTCATACAATTATTATCTTTATCAGCGGTGAGGTCGGTCGGCAGAAGGGAGGGTCAAAGTTCAAAAGGTCACTTTTTTTTATTAATACAAACGTGATTATTTCTTTGTATATAAAAATATTTTTATTTTATTTTCAATTATGACAAATTTTTTTTAACACGTATAAAGTTAAAAATTTTTAATTCCTCTTTTCTTACAAGCAGCTGACCATTCAATTTTATCTTTAGCTTTGATACAAATTCGAAATCCTAAAAAGAAAAGAAATATTAGTGGGAAAATATTGAAAAAACGTTTTTTTTTCTCTTAATAGATTTCCAATAATTAATAAAATTTTATTTATTTCGTGTCAACGACCTTTACTATTTTTTTTTTTCGTTTTTCTTTCTTCGATTATTATTTTTAAAAAAATTTCACCTGCGTATAAATTTTTATTTCCCGCTTTTAAAAAAACTTCATCCATCGTTGAAATCATATCCGTCAAAGATGTTTCTCCTCTCATGTAATTCGACGAAGCGAGTTTAAATTTAAAATTTTCATTTACCGACAGGAAAATTTTAACCTGAAAAACAAAAAAAAAAAAAAAAAAAAATTGTTCCTCCTCAACTTCGACTTCTTTATCGAATTGGTACAACAACAGGTACCCACCGAAGAATAATAATTGATTAATTTTTCTTTCAATTCTTTTTCGTATTTATTTTCCACTATGACGTCACCGTCGTTTTTCGCAGCAGGTAACAGGGGTTTAACCTTTATATGTGAATATTTTTTTGGTTGGCTTCCCTCAGATGATTCCGGGGATGAAAATAAAGAGGGAGAAAGTTTAGGGCAACAATTTTTTTTGTAATTTTCCTCTTCGTCATCACTCAATTTTCTTTTGTTATTTTCTTGTACTACTACTTCCTGTAAATAGAATAATAAATGTAGCCATTCCCAATTTTATTTAAAATTCATTTTTTTTTTTTTTTTTTTTTTAATAAAAAATTACATTTAAATTTTCCCGAGATGAATAATTATCTAAATTTTTTCTAGCCAATTCTATGGCATCGGATAGGGATGTCGTAGCTCCTGTTTTCCTCCCCACCGAATTCCCATCATCATTATATTTTTTATTCGATTTATATTTAAATAATAAATTTTCTGGAGTCAAATCATCGTCCTCGTATTTTATATTAGTGTGACCTCTTGATTTCCGTTCTTTGTTTATAATTTGAGTTCCCGACGATTCCGACCGGGATTTCCCTTCGATTCCCGATAAATCCATTCTTGGTCCCGTTCTTTTCGGGGGTTGTTTTTTATGATCGTATTCTTCGTATGAAAATTTCTTTGCTATGGGACAACCATTTCCATCTAACGGTTGACAGTGAATTTCTTCCACTCCCAACTAAAATAACAACAAACGATTTTACTTTTCCGACTTTTCCGACAGACCAGACGACATTAAGCTGACGGGAGAATATTAATACTCAATAATTCGACTCCTTACCGCACCCGAGTGTACGTTTTTAAAAAAATCACTGATTAATTTTTTTGCAGTTGGAAAATTACTCTCCGTCGGAAAATCATCTCTCAACCAAGATGATATGTTGTAAAATAATCTCGGCCATGCAAATCGATAATCTACAAGAATAATGACTCCGTAATCTTTTCCGTGTCTAATAACTCGTCCGATGGCTTGATTGGTTGCTTTCATTGCTTCTATGGATAGATAGGGTTGATTGTACAATTTCTACGATTGGATTAAAAGGTAAATTAATGATAACATTTAAATCCTTGATACGCTCCTTAAAACTTAAACTTACTTCTTCCGTTTTGGTTTTCTCATTGTAAATCATGAGGGATTCCGAATATTTTTGCTTTCCAATAACTCTTAAATCTTGTATGGGAGGAAAGGGAACTCCAATTATGAATACACCTCGGCAATATTGATCCTTAAAATCCATACCTTCGGAAATCTATTATAGAAAATCATATGTAAAACTTGGTAATCGTAATTAGGTATATACATTTCTTTAATCGGTTCAAAATATTTTACCTTTCCGCGAAGGACACCCATTAAAATGGCACCGTTACCAGAATCTATTGCTCTACGATAATTTTCCATACAATTGATAAATTCGTTTTTGTTACGTGGCTCGACAAAAACTCTCTAAAACAAAGACTCACATTTTCTATTTTGCAAAAAAAAAAAAGGAAAAAAGGAAAAAAAGAATTACCTTTAAAGAATTTAATCGGGTCCAAATTCCTAAATCTTTTTCCCACGATTCTTTTAAACTTTGCATCATCGTGTAAGAAGAAAATAATAATAATATACCATCAGGTATGGACGCGATAAGATTAGTCAAAGACATTCCTAACGACGAAACGTACTTGGGATCGTTCCTGGTTTTTAAACGAAATAGATTTTAAATTTACATAAACGTAATTTATATAATAAATAATTTCATACCTATTTTTATAGGCTCCATCCATTTTGACATTGTTAACTCCTGTTCCGAGTATGACAAAAGGAACCTTTTAAAACAAAACAAAAAATTTTATTCAGTTAAAAACAAAAAAAATTTTGTTTTTAACTGTCATTATCAATATACCTGACATTTTTTTGCTATGTGTTTATTTTCCAATGTAACAGGTTTGGGAAGACCCAATTCATAAATAAATGTTCTAAGAGGTGATAAAGTTCCACTAGTAATGATAATAGATTGAGAACCAAGCGCTAATAAACTCTTTATCCTAAAATAAATAAATAAGTTTCTTTTTATCAAAAAATCTATACCATTAATCAAGTCATTGTCAAAAACTCACCCGAAAGATGGATTAAAACAATACAAAGAAAATTTTTTTGCAAAATGTCGTTCAGGATCTGTTGTTATCACACATTTAAACGATCTATCCACAATTGATTTATCAAAACTTCTAACTGTTGATCCATACATAACACTCATCATTTTTTCCAACAAATTAAATGTTTCCAATGTGCTTCCTGTCAGTGAAAGTTTTTCCGAATCACTTTTAAATGAAGAAATGCCATCGATAAGCACTCTGGATTTATCATCGTTTATCTAAATTTTATAATATTATTAATTTTTTTAATTTTACTAAATTAGTTTTTCAAAAAATTAAAATTTAACCTTACACCAGCACTACTTAAAAAATTATAAAGTTCAGAGACAGGTAAAAGTTCATTGGAAGCATTCATTTCACTAAGTGCCGATTCTAATTTTTGTAGCATTTCAACCATCATCATAGAATTTGATACATGTTTGGATACATCGATTTCTTCATCTTCTATTAAATCCTCAGTGAGTTTACTTAGGCTAAGCATAACCTACAAAATGATAAAAGTTTAAATTGTGACAAAAAATATTAACATTTACTGAATGAAAAAAAAAAAAACAAAAAAAGTTTTACATCTTGAATATTTTTGATTCCGATGGCAACATCGAGAGATGTAAAGCTAAACTCATAACTTTCTTCGCAAGTGGAAGGCACATTGTGACCTTCATCAAAAATAATAACATCATTCTAAAAAAGAACATTTAATTTATTAATATCAATTTAAACTTAATTTCAATAATTGATGTGTTTTTAAAAAATTTAACTAACTTGTAATTGCAAACCATTTGATTCTCTAGATTCTCTATCGATGATATAATTATATGGAAGTAAAAGAATATCTGCAGTTTCACTGGCTCTTTTAGCCAAAAAATAAGGACAAATTCCACATGATTTTCCTATCGATACTAAATCTTCTATGTCTAAAACCTCTCCCGATTGATAAAATCTTTTAAAATCTTTTTCATATGATAACTTTGTATAATATTTACATTTTTTAGATTTGACTAATTCTTTACATTTAACAGTCTGTGAAAAAAAAATCACTCTTTAATAAAACAATATTTTATAATAAGTCAGAAAAATTGACAATATAATACCTTTATGTAAGAATCTTTTTCTTCTAAAACAAGTTCATTTATGCATAATTGATCCCTAGCTCCCATTACCCTTACATGAAGACCTTCTATGTCACATTTTCTAACTTCGCTAACTGTTTGAGCAATTTGAGAATGAGTTCTTGCTGTATACCAAACTTTTGATTTGGATTTGACTCCCCAGGGTCCCTGATGTTCAGTACTTTCAAAATGAGGACTATTGAGTTCTTTATTAGAATCTTGAGTAACATGTACGACAGCATTTTTTTTTTTTCTTTTTGCCCAAGCTGTGACAGGTGCGAATAGGCACAGTGTTTTGCCCGTACCAGTCGGAGATTCTAAAACTGCATGAGTTTTCTAGAAACAATTCACACACTTTTATAGTTTTTAAATTGACATTAAATTTATCTTTTTAAGCAAAAAATTTACCTCATCTAAGCAAGTGAGAACTTTATTCATGTAACTCTTTTGGATGTCGTATGGAATCGGGTAAGGAAAGCTAACATCATATCCTCTTAAAGAAATCACTGACATGACTTAAAAAAATTAATAAAAATTTCCTAGACGTTTAAAATGATATGTCAAAAAGAGCGCGTAATTTTTATTTTATTCTAAGAGTGCGGTGACAATAAAATTATTAAACTGCAAAAAATTTATTTTTAAATAAAAATAATAATGAATACTTTTCAAAAAAGAAATCTAATTACATTTTTTCGAATTGGTAAAATATACTTGAGGAAATTTGTAAAAATTTGGGGAATTTTCAAACGGATTCATTTTTAATTCTATTTCCACGTCATTAAACCGTGAATGTGTAGCAGACGACATTGATTTAGTTTTTTTTCCGTCTTTCAAGTAATATGTAGTCAAATTTTTTTTTTATTTTTTTTTTTATTTTGAAGAAATATCACATAAAAGTGTGATTCGTTAAAAAAACTAGACGTTAGTTATTATCAAGATCATGTAGTCATGTAAGTAAATTAATAATTTGCCTTAAATTTTTTTTAACGTTTAAATTTTATTAGGAAAGTCGAGTGGAGAAATCTATAAGTGTTAACTTTCTTTTATCCACTTCCTACTTTTTTTTTCTTTTTTTAGAAAATACGTTTTTATAACAAAATGTCATATTTTTAGAGTACAATTAAATTAAATTTTTTCTTTTTTTGTATGACAGCATTGATATTAATTTTCTTCTCTTTTTCACATTTGCAACATTTTGCTTTTTTTTTTTTTTTTTTTTTTTTTTTATTGTCCGAAGTTATTTATTTACAAGTTTCGAATGATATTTAAGTAATATTTCATAACAAAATAATTCAATTTTTATAAATAAAATTTTCAATAAAAATCATAAAAAATTTTATATTTGTAAATATTTTTATTGTTACCTGATAAAAACTAGAATGTGACACCCTGACATTTATATAAAAAAAGTTTTTTTTATTTTATTTTTAGGTTATAAGGAAAAAAGAAGATGTTAGTTTAAAACAAAAAAAAAAATTAAGGAGTTGGAAAATTTTATTTTCGTCTTTAACTTGTTCGTTTATGATGAGTTAAAAAAAATTTTTTACTTTGTTACCAAGTGTTTCTATTCACCTTTTTAGGTAAGTTCATAATGAATTTTTAATTATTTTAAAATTTAAAACAAAAATCAATCAATCAATCAATCAATCATTTCGACAAACAAAAAAAAAAAAATTTTTAAATTTGAAATTGTGCCAATATGAAATCAAACTGCGAATATTAATAAATGTTTCTCGAAATTGTAAATGTTTATTTCCTTGTTACTGCAAAGACTTATATTTAACATAGCCATTAAAATGTCACACAGTTTTTTTTTTAGTTAAAACAACTATATTAAAAAAAAAACAAGTTTTTCTTTTTAAAAAAAGAAACTTTTTAATATTGTTTAAAAAACGAGAAAAATTTGAATATTTTGTAATTTACCTTTGAAAAAATTTTTATTTAATTAAGATTTAATTTGTGTTCTTCTTTCAAGGTATTTCATTTAATTAAATTCTTTTCCTGATATTAATATGCTTGAGAATTTTATTCATCATGTGACAAATTTTTTTTTTTGTATTTTCAAATAACGAATAAAATAATGTTCGAAAAAAATTTATGTAATAATTTAAAAAAAAAAAAAAAAAAATTATTTATTTATTTAATAACTTTTTCTTTACATAAATATAAATTATTTAAATAAATAGATTTTCCACATTAGAATTTCATTGTTTTTCTTTTTCTTGCAAAAGTAAAACGTTTTCAACCATTGTGACTCCATTTTTTTTTTTTAATATTCGATTATGTTACACAAAAAGCCAAGCCAAGGATAAACTTAATAACGGTTTTAAATTTTTATTTAAAGAGTAAATAATTTTGTGAAGGTAATACTACGATAAGAATAATTTACAAAAATTATATTTCTTACTATGTTAAAAAAAAAAAATAGAAATGAATTCGATTTATTATTATTATTATTTATTTATTTATTTATTTGTTTTAGGTGATTTAGACTGGGATCGTATTTCAACGGTTAATATGATGCGATCAGGTAAATAAAAATTATTTATTTATTTATTTATTTTTTTTTTAAAAAAATAACTCCATTGTGTATTATAAATTTTTTTTTTTTTTTTTAGGACGACATAAAGTTCTAATTCCGATTCCACCAGTTCGAAAACGTCGACCGCCATCTTATTTGCGAACCATTATATTATTTTCATTGATTATGTTTATTTGGTTGCACATAGCAATAACGTACCACGAAACGGATTGTGATACGAGCGTGGAAAACGATTCATTAAGTTTCGTACCGTCAGATATTCAAAAATATTTAAAAGTTAGACCTCGGTCTGATAATTCAACGTCGAATGGTAAAAATATTTTAAGCGTTTCCGATATAAAAGCGGAAATAGAAAGATATAACGGGAGGCAATACGTTCACAACGAAGATATTTTCGGACCGTTGCAAAACGATTCGTTGATTATTATCGTACAAGTAAATTAATTTTCATAATTATATATTTAAAAAAATCTATTTTTTGTGTTTGTCACTTTCGATTATTCACGTCGTCGTCGTCTGCTTTCACTTTTTTTCACAGGTTCACGTAAGAATCAGATATCTTCGTCATTTGATAGTGAGTCTCGCACAGGCTCGAGACATTGACACAACGTTATTAATTTTCAGCCATGATTTTTTCAATTCGGAAATAAACGATCTGATACAGAGCATAGATTTTTGTAAAGTTTTGCAAATATTTTATCCATATTCGATACAAACTCATCCGAATACGTTTCCAGGACCTTCGCCAAACGATTGTTCGAGAAACATGACAATCGAAGAGTGGGTTTTACTACTTTATTTTCCCTTATTTGTAAAAATGCGAAAAAAAATTTTTTTACGAGTAATGACGGGAGGGGGGGGGAAGAGGAGCGTTTAGAAAGTGATGAATCACATTTTAATTTTTTGGGTTTTTTGTTCGTAGAGCTTTGAAAAAAAATTGTGTGAATGCCGAATGGCCGGATATGTACAGTCACTATAGAGAGGCTAAATTTACGCAAGCTAAACATCATTGGTGGTGGAAAGCGAACAGAGTTTTTTCACAGTTGGAAATAACACGTTACCACACGGGTAAATTTTCTTTTTTTTTTTTCGCATGCAAAGAAAAGACAAACTGATTGTTTATTATTATCATTATTATTGTTTTTCCAGGTTTGGTTTTATTTATCGAAGAAGATCATTTTCTTGCCGAAGATTTTATTCACGTGTTAAATTTAATGAAAAAAACACAACCGCAAAATTGTCGGAATTGTGATGTTTTTTCACTGGGAACATATCACAAAGTATTTTTACGTAACGTTTATTACGTATATTCTCATAGAGTAAGTTTAACCGATCGCATCATTTGTCAATGCATATCCTTATTTATTATTATTATTATTATTATTATTATTATTATTATTATTATTATTATTATTATTATTATTGTTGTATTTTTTGGATTCGAAGTCGTGAGAAAAAGAAAAATTTGTATTTGTTTAGGTGTATTGCATTTAGAAGCATGTTTGCATATGGGGTGCAAAAAAAAAAGAAGTCATAGAGAAATAAAAATATATATTTATTTTTTTTTTTTAGCAATCCTTTTTTTTTTTACGTTTAATTAAAAAAAATTTATTTTTTAAAAAATTAATTGACAAAATTTCACAGATAGAAACATCGAATTGGATAAGTAGCAGGCACAACATGGGAATGGCATTGAATAGAAATATATGGAACGAAATAAAAAAATGCGCCATTAATTTTTGCACATACGACGATTACAATTGGGATTACAGTTTGCAAATCGTATCGAATACTTGCCTACCGAAAAAATTATTCGTTATGATGCCGAGAGCTCCGAGAATATTTCACATAGGAGAATGGTAAATCAATCAATCAATCAATCAATATGACGACGAATTCGATCGTGGTAAAAAGAATTAATTAATTGATTTGATTTTTTTTTTTTTTTTTTGTCACAGCGGATTTCATCATAAGAAAAAAGACTGCGAAGCGACAACGTTTTTAAATCAAATTCAAACGACATTGAAAACATCTAAAAAATATCTTTATCCTAAAAAATTAAAAGTTCATTCTCTGATATTAAGGAGAGATAATGTTAAAAATGGAAACGGAGGTTGGACGGATCTACGAGATCATCAACTTTGTTTAAACATTTCATCGTCATCGACGAGTTAACGTTAATAACAAACAAATATTATTATTATTATTATTATTATTATTTATTAAAAAAATTTTTCTAGATGATGATGATGATGATGATGATTTTGCCTTTTTAAATAAAACGACCAATATTTACATTATATATATATATTTTAAAATTTATGTTTTTTTTTTTTGGTTGTTGTTAATTTTGTTAGATTTTTTGTTTTTAATTTTATTCTATAATTTATTAAAAAAAAAAAAAAAAAAAAAATGTGATGACGTAAAAATGTGATAAATAAATAAGTTTTTTATTTTTACTTCTCATTATTCAGAAAATGTCTGTTTAATTTATTCTATAGGGCCAATAATAATAATAATAATAATAATAATAATAATAATAATAATAATTTTATGTATTTTACAATTTTTTTTTTTTTTTTTTTTTTGTAACTGATTTTAATGTTGTAGTTTTATGTTTGTTTGTTTGTTTGTTTTAATTTGATTATTTTCTGGTTGTGCCATAGTATAAATAAAAAAATATTATAAAATGTGATGATGATGATGATGATATTATTAGTTTTATCAAATTTTTTTTTTTTGTAATGTTCACCAATTGATTGTATTTTTTCTCTCTCTCTCTCTCTCTTTAATATTCACACGGAATTAAAATTTAGTCATAAATAAGTATTATGTACATAATTTTCGACAATCATAAATGTATTATTATTATTATTATTATTATTTAAAAAAATCTTTTTTTTTTTTTTAGTTTTGTTATAAAGTTTATCGTTTGTTATAAAATAAATGAAATTAAAATACGCATTTTATAAGTATTATTATTATTATTATTAATAACTGTTCGAAATGATTATTATTATTATGTTGTTGTGTTTGTCATCATTCCCATTATTATTACTTGTTATTATTATTATTAACATCATTTTATGTAAAAAAAATTTTTTTTTTATCGTTCGTACAAAATTATGTTGGTGCTTTTAAATATAATTAAACTAATTAAGGATTAATTATTTAATAATAATAATAATAATAAATGAAATCAGTATTATCGATTGTTTTATATACAAAATATATAATTTGTAAATAATAATAATAATAATTTTTAACATTCTGCCAATGTTTTTGTTTAAATTTACGCTTTAAAATTTATTTCTGCATTTTAATTTTGTTATTTTTTGTTATTTATTTTTTTATTAAAAAAAAAAATTAAATTACGGTTGATTTATTTATTTATTTATTTATTTTTGTTAAATGTAGGAGATGAAAAAATTATTTTAATTGCCAAATTTATTATAATTAATTGTTATTAATTAAATTGAGTACGGTATTGAAGTAAAGCGCACAATTTTCTTTTTTTTTATTTTATTTTATTTTATTTATAATAATAATAATAATGAAATTTTTTTGAGTGATTTTTGTTTACAAATGATTATTATTATTATTATTATTACACGATTTTAATTTTTTATTTGACAAAAAAATTTTTTTAACAAAACTAGTCTTATTATATATACATATACTTAAAGTACAATTTATTTAATTATTTATTAAATAATTATTTGTTTTTTTTTTTTTTGTTGTTGTTGTTGGCATATAAAATCCATAATATATATATTATTTCAATATGTGAACTTTTTTTTTTTTTTTAAACTTTATTATTTTATTTATTTATTTATAAACTTTTTATATTTTATTTATTTTAATTAGGAATGAGAATTGGTTTTTAGAACTTTAATTAATTTTTGTATACAGCCGGAATTATTTATTTATTTTTCATTTAAAATAATTTTGTTAAAAAAAACTTATTAATTCCATGATGTTTTTACGCGGGCAAAACAAGTATCGGTTTATTATTATTATTATTATTATTATTATTTTATATTATTGTAAAAACTTTTAAAATGGTTAATTTATAATTAAACTAATTTAAAAATATTTTCAAATAATTTTATTTAAATGGCCGCCAACGTTCATTTTTAAAATAATTATTCGGTAAATTGGACTCGAATTTTATACGAAATTTTTTTGTAAAATATATTTTATTCTTCGATTAATAATCGAAACATTTTTTTAAAGGAAAAACAAACATTTTAAGCATGTATAAGCGTTTTATCATAATATAAAAGTAATAAATAAATTATTATTTTCTTATCATACAGTTTCAGGTTGATTAATAAAAGATTTAAATAATGATAAAGCTTAAATATTCTTTTATTTTTAAAAATGTTTATTTAAAATAAAGTTTAAAATATTTTTTAGAAATAATAGTAATTATTATTATTAATAAAGAATTAAATTTAATTTAAAATTCAAATTAAAAAAAGTTATTATAAGATTTATTCGAATTGCATTTTAACATCCGATGAGTTGGCGTACATATTTCATTGATTTCTATTACCACGACTTTGGCCATTTTTTCTCGTGTTTGTTACTCTATGATTTAAATTATTCCATGAAGTCAGGTTAATGCAATGTTTATATAATCATGTTGAATTTATCTAAAATTCAGTTAGAACTTGAACGGGCGAAAGAAAAATTAAGAAATGTTGAAGAAACAATTCAAAAAGTAGAAGGGAAAACATTTTCAAATGGCCCAATTCGGTATGGTTAAATATTGTTTCAACTCCGCGTCTACCGACATTTAACATTTTACCTATGAATTTGTTTAAGTTTTGTTTACTATATATATATTTATATCCGAATTTCTTTAAATCAAATAATAACATCTATATATGTGTTTTTTTGCTCTTATAATAATAATTACGGTATTATCTTTAAGTAAATTATTGTAAATTTTTTTTGAGATATTATAGAAATTTCATGTTCACATATAAAACTTAACTATAAAAAATGTTGAAAAGAAATTGATATGTTTTGTAAAATTTAAGGGTGTGGTGTTGAACTGTTAGTACTTGTAAACTAATTTAATGTTTGAACTCGTTTTTTATTAATACTTTTATTACATGACCGATTGGAAACTTGTTAAATGAATTATATGTATTATTATACTAAGGAGCATAACATTTTATTTTCAGGTATGGTAACATAAAAGTTGAATTACATACAGATAAAAACAAACATATTGGTGCCTTTGATGATTCCAAAAATCAAAGAAGGAGAGTTATAGCCTCTGCTATTGATTCAAGAATTCAAAGACCAATTCCAGAAGATGGTTCCTTTAATTTAAAGAGGTAAATTTTAACAAAAAAAAAATTACAATTCGAAGCAAAATTTTATTACTTATTAATAAATAATATAATTACTTTTAGGGGAATAAGTGGTGACGTCAGACCTCAAGGAGTTTTTGCCAGGTTAATATAAATTATTATTATTATTATTATGCGGTGTTTGTTGTGTAATTAAAATGAAAAATATTAAATTTATTTTAGATTATCCGGACTTCCGTACAATGTGCAGCCTGAAGATGAAGAAGAAGAAGAAACAACGAAAAAGGTATTTTTAATATTTTTAATGTTTTTTTTTTTATAAGTGAAATGAAATTAATTCATTTTAATCATGACAGCCTGCATTGCCATCGAGAGTTTTCACCACAGCAACAGAAGCACCTTCTCGTCAAGAAGTAATTGCTGCTCAAACAGTAGATGAACAAAGCAAGCAAAGGCATAAAAGAATGTTTGGAGCCCTTGTTGGAACTTTACAAAAATTTCGTAAAGAAGAAACTAGAGTTAGGGAAAGAGTAAGTTTTGTGTCGATTAAAATAAATATCTTATTTCATATGTGTAATAAATTTTAATTTTCTTTTTCGTTTTCGGCAGGAAGAAAAAAGATTAAAAGTTGAGAAAAAATTAGAAGAAGATGCTAAAAGAGAAAAGGAAAAATTAATGCAAGAAAAGCGGGAACTCTTTTTAGAAAAGAAAAGACGAGAAGTTGAAATAAAAAGAATAGAATGGAGTTTGAATAGAGTCAAAGAATACGAAGCTTGGGAAGCAAATGTTATCCCTCTGAAAAATTTCATTCAAACCCAGGCAAAACCTCATTTATTTTACTTACCATGTGTTCACAATGATAAAACAGAAGAACGTTTGGTCATTAGTCAAAAATTAGTAGAAAGTAAGAATCCGTTAAAATCAGCAAAGTGTGGATATTTTATTTATTTAAACTGACATTTCGTTTTGTAAAATTTTAAAATTTTAGAAATGATTGAAAAAAGAAAAAATAATCTTAAAGAAGAAATAGAAAACAGCGAGAAAAAGGCGAGGAAAACGGCAACCGAAGTTGTTGAAGAAGAAGAAGAGGCCGAAAATATTCCGGAAAGTAATGAGGAAACCCATGCCGAAGAGCATTTGACTCGTGAAGATTTCGAAAATGAAAACAAAGAAAATGGATACCTCGTTGAAGGTGAGTTTTTTTTACTTCTCATCAAAAGGTATTTTATTTAGAATAGGTATTAAATGCAAACGATCAATTTGATATTGTAGATGTTAAGAAGCATGTCGATTCGGAAAAAATGAATCAGGTGGAAGAAATGAAGGAGAGAAGTAAAATGAAAGATTCCGATAAAAGTGACGATGAGAAAATGAAAGGGATGAAATGAATAAGGAAGAAGAGCAAAATGACAGCAGAGAAGATTTATCAATGACCCGAACGGATGAATCGAATATAAAACCCGATGACAGTTATCAAGAAGTATCGAATCCGGTTCCGGTAGAAGAATCTGAAAATCAGTACAATGTAGATAACGAAAATCCCATTAATTCCCCCCGACAAAACGATGAAGAAAACAAGGGTGGGAACGGAGAAAACGACAAAGATGATGTGGAATCGAATCGTATTCATACGGAAAAGGAAGATACCGTGGAAGAATCGAGACCCGAAATTCTAAACCAAGTGCCCGCGGTATCAAGTGATGAGAACATTAACGAAGACAAAGTAATGAGGGAAAACGAGGGATCCGATGATGATAAGAAAAAAAATTTAGAGGATACCAATGACAAACCAAACGAAATCGTTTTAGATAATAATTTAAAACCGGAGGACTCCTCCTCCGATAAAAAAGAACTCGAAAGTGAAAGTGAAAACAAAACGGAGGAGAGTAATTCGAAAAAAAAAATTATAGAAAATACACGGAGTGAAAAAAGTGCGAAAAGCAGTGAAAAAACGAGGCGTAGAGAAAGATCGAGGAGTAGAAAGGACGAGAGGAGGGGGCGTTCGAGGAGTCCGAGAAAAAGATCGAGATCCCCGAGATTTTCTTCGAGAAATAAAAGTTACAGGAGGAGATCGAGTTCCCGAAGGAGGAAAACACTCGGAAAGAGGAGTCGTTCGAATTCACCGTCGAGAAAATCGAGAAAATCGAGGTCTCCATTTTCCAAAAGGGGTCGGAGGAGTGCGACGAATTCTTCGAGAAAACGATCGCCCCACGTCAGAAGTCGGAGGAGTTCATCAAAAAGTTCCGTTTCCGGTTCGCCGAGAAAAAGAAAATCGAAATCGTCCTCGTCGTCGGATTCCGATTAAAAAAATTATTTATATATAAATACATACATAGACAAAAAATGTATTAATAATAATAATAATAGTGCTCTTGATAATTTTAAAATAATAATAATAATAATAATAATACTTATTTAATTAGTAAAGTTTACTTTTTAAAAATCGGTTAATCAATACGCGGATACAATTATTATTTATTTTAAATGAAAATGATGAGAAACTTTTTTTTTTTTTTGCACTGCTTTTTGTGATAACTGTAATCCTTTTTTTTTTTTTTTAATAATTAAAATGGAGAGCTATTAGTTAGTTTTTTGTTTTTAGAATCGCCATTACGCAATTTATTAAGAAAAGTAATTAAGAAGAAGAAGAAGGAACCGGACGTTTAATAAATCGTAATTTTTTATTAAAAAAAAAATTCCGTTGATTTTTACGTGTCGGTCGATTGATGAATATATACCCCTCCCCTCCCTCCCTCTCCACCCCCTTCTAAGAATATGACAATCCTATGTGAAATGGATGTTGGTAACAAACAAAAAAAAGAAAAGATTTAATACAAATATTTAAAAAAAGTTTTTTTTTTGTTTTAAATTATAATTTCCTATCTTGTTAAATATTGATAAGAAAATTATTTATTAAAATATGATATCGAAGTGGAGGGAGGGGAGGGGTTGGGAAAAAACGATTCGACAAAATGGTCAAGGTATAAAAATGATAGAGAGAAAGAGAGAGAGGAAGGGAGAGGAAGGGAGAGATAGGAAGTGATAATTAAATTTTAGTTAATTTTAGACGAACGAATATTCATCAAAGGGGTGGCTAAATGAATGTAATTACCTTTTCTCTCTCTCTCTCTCTCTCTTTTTTGCCTCTCTTTATAATTTCATATATATTTTATTTAACACAAAAAAAAAAAAAAGGTAAATTTTAATTAAAATGTCTGCCATCTATCTATCTATCTACGTTTCACCTTGATTTTATATACACACTCTTGTAAAATTTTATCATTTTCCAACTCTCTCTATCTCTCTCTCTCTCTCTCTCTCTCTCTCTCTCTCTGTCTCTCTCTCTCTCTCTCTGTCTCTCTCTCTCTCTGTCTCTCTCTCTCTCTGTCTCTTTCTCTCTCTCTCTCTCTATTTTCTCGATATTTGAAAATATATTTTAATTTTTATTTAAGGAAATTATTATTTAAGGAAAAATGAAAGAACTAATTTGAAAAATTTTTCTTTCTTTTAACTATTAATTATTTAAAATTGAAAAATAAATTTTAATAATAATAATAATAATAATAGTAAAAATTATTAATAATAATAATAAAAAATAAAAAAAAGATTATATATAAATACATAAATCTTTTTCACTCTTATATAGTTGGAAAAGTGGATAATGGAAAATTGTGATCTCTCTCTCTCTCTCTCTCGTATTTGTCATCTCGTAACAAAAGAAAATTTTTTTTTTTGAAACTCTTTAACCAAATTTTCACAACGAAGGGAAAAATTTTTTAAAATACAAAATATAGTCGATGAGAAAAACATATAAACAATTAATAAAAAAAAATTTTCATTTTTTTAAATATAAGAAAATTATCATTATTATTATCGATAAATTTGTCATTTAATCATCATCATCATCATTATCGACTTTTAAAAAATTGAAAAAATTTGTCGGTATTGTAAATTGGGGGGGGGGGGGAAATGGTTTTTATATTTAATAAACCATAATTGATGTGTAAAAAAAAGGAAAAATAATATTCGAGTGTAAATGAGGTCGAAAAAAAAAAGAAAATGGCGGATATAATAAGAATTCAAGTCGTGAATGAGAAAGAATGTCATTCAAAGAATTTTCTTAATATCTATTATTCCATAAAGAGAAAATATTTCAATAACGTGAAAAGAATTTTCATATGGAATTCAAAAAAAATCATTTTCACCAAAAAAAGAAAATTTTTCAATCGATTTTTCTCACCCATTTTCACTCTCTCTCGTTTATAGAATTTTAATCAACGTTTTATTCCCCCGTGTGTGTGTGTGTGTATATTATTATTATTATCGAGAAAAAAAAATCGATCAATCGATCGATCGATCGATACGATTCGATTCGAAAAACAAATCATTTCCGCCATTTTTTTTTTTTTTCGTTTTGCAAAAGTAAAAGAAAAATCATATGAAAAGCTAATCGATTAAAATAATAAGATGGGGAGGTGATGGGGGGTGATGGGTACGGGGATGGGGGAGGGGAGGGAGGGAAAAGTTTTTTTATATAAAAGCAAGTTGTTTTGTGCGTGATATTTTTAAGATTTCGCCCCTTTAAAAAAAAAATTTTCCAACTCATTTAAACTTTTTTTTTACTCTCTTTCAAAAAAATTTTCCTTTTTTCTAAGAGGAAAAACGTTTACGGGTAAAATTTACAATTCGAAATTTTTTTTACGAACGTTGATTTATTATTATTATTATCAAATTGATAATATTATTATTATTATGTTTATTATCGAAAAGTTTATTGAGTGAAAAAAAATTATACAGACGATGACGATGACGGTGACGACTGGAGAAAATAATTATGGAGTCAAATAATATTTGAATGGATGCAAATTAAGTGTGTGAGTGTGTGCGTGTGAATAAATAATAATGATAATATGAACGTTATCGATAAGGCTCGAAATTAAAAAAAAAAAAAATTAAATTGACGTTTTATTTTAAATTGAATACGAAAAAAGAAAATTTTTTTTTTTTTTTTGTGATAAAAACTTTTCAATATTTAACTAAAACCGGGAAAATTCAAACGAAACGTCTCCAACAGATTTTTTCTTATCAAAAATATTTTCTCTCTCTCTCTCTCTCTTTCATTGTTCTTTGGGAAAAAAAAAATTTTTTTTTTTGTTCAGCCTAGTCCGATTCCTTTGTTCCATCATTTTTTTTTCCTTTGTGTTAAAAAATAACCTTTGAAATTTGCAAAACAATTTTTTTTTATTTTTTCATTTTAAATTTTCTTTCTCTCTCTCTCTCTGTCGAAAAAACCGTTAATTACTAAGCGAGGAAACAAATGTAATTATTATCATTATTATTTTCATGCGAAAAGAAAATTTTTTTATGGTGATAAAAATGATAATAAAATGTAAAAAAAATAAAATTCGCAACAGGTATGCACACGTCCATTAATTCTAAAAAATTCCTTTTTTTTTTTTTTTAATTTAATTGAGATATTTCTATTCGTCACCATCGCCGCCACCACCACCACCACCGCCACCGCCATAATAATTCCCTCTACTTCCTTCCAATAAAATAAAAAATGGTAACCGCGCAGAAGTATTGAAGAGAAAAGTGAGAAAAGAAAAGAGGAAAATTTTTTCAATTTTTAACTTTTTTTTTTTTTTTATCGAGTCAGAATTGAAACGCGAGTTGAAGACGACGACGAGGACGACGAGGACGACGTCAGCGAACGTCGAAAAGGAAAACGTTCGGCGCCTTTGATGCGACGACGGAATATTATTTTACATCCTTATAGGTAATTAATATCATTATTATTATTATTATTATTATTACTATTATTATTCGCTTCTTTTTTTTAAAAAAAAAAAACCAAATGAAACGAACGGTTTGTGATGTAAAATCAAATTGTTTTCCCACGTGTTGATTCGTCGTCGATAAATTTTCCAAAAGTTTTTCTTTCAACTTTCCGCCATTTTTATTTTTTAAAAGTATAATTTTAATTATTAATTAATTAATTATTACGGTAATTAATTAATAATCGAACGAGTACAAAATGTAAAAAATAAAAATAGAAAAAATTTTCCAGGATTCGTTAAGTTAATTTTTGGCGGGATTTTTAATTTTTTTTAACGACTTCCGGTCGAATTTAAATCCGTTAAAATTTTTTTAATAATAATGATAATAATTGATAATCATAATTATCGATCGATAATTTTTTCCCCACCCCTCCCCTCCCCCTCATCCGATAACAAATTAAAATAATTTTTATTTTTCAAAAAAAAAATAAATAAGTAAATTGTCTTATACCTGTTAATAATAATAATAATAATAATAATAATAATAATAATAATAATAATAATAATAATAATAATAATAATAATAATTAAATTTAATTAATTGATGCAACATTATGACGTCATTTGTTTAAAACGTTAATTTTTTTTTTTAAACAATTAAAACCTATAAGGAAATTATTTATTTTCCATTAGAAAAAAAAAATTTTAATTTCAATTTAATTGTTTTGCCATTTTTTTTTTTTTTAAACAAACAAATGAAAATTAATTAAAAATAATTAATAATAATAATAATAATAATGATATTATTAATTGTGTTGTTAAGGCTAACTAAGGATTTTTCAAAGTCATTTATTAATAAATAAATAAATGGAAAAAAAAATTATTTAACAATTAACTTTAATAATTATCAAGTTTTCAATTTCATTCGACATTTTCCCCCTCCTTCCACCTTTTCTCCCTTTCCCTCCCCACTTTTTATCCCGTACATTTTTTTTCTCATACTTCCTTTTTTTCTCCCTTTTTTTTCTCCCCCTTTTTTCCCACTTTTCCCACTTTTCCGACTTTTCCTTTTTTTTTAAACTACAGTTTCGCATTAAAAATAAAGTGAAAAATAAATTAACCTTTTTTTTTTTTAAAAAAGGATAAACCATTTCTCTCTCTCTCTCTCTCTCTCTTTTTTCAATTATTTATAGAATTTTGAAAGTTTTTGTTTGTTGTTTGTTGTTGTTGTTGTTGTGATTGTTGTTGTTATTTTCACCGCATAATATCATTACTTATTATTATTAATTATGATGATGATGATGATGATTTTTTCTCATATCAATTTGTTTTCTTTCTTTGTTCCATTTTCTCTCTCTCTCTGTTTTTGTTTAAACTAACAAACTATTGTTACGTAATCAATTTTACGATACGAATTATTTTTTTCGTGTGGGACAAAAAAAAAAGGAAAAAAGGAAAATTTAATAATAATAAAAAAACAAAGAAAAAAATCCATAACATTATATATATGTAATAAATTCAGAGTTTGTGAAAACCAACGTACAAATAAAAGAGAGAGAGAGAGAAAGAGAGAGAGAGTGGGGGGAAGGGAAAAGCAAACAGATTTTTATGAAAAAAAATAAAGAATTGACGCGTTTTGGACAAAAGTAATCGAAAAAGGAAAATTTACACAGACATTTTATTTATTTATATGATGGATTAGTCAATTTCAAACAAAAAAAAAAAAAAAAGAAAATTTTCTAGAAAATTCGAATCGAAAAAAAACGAATCTTTTATTATTATTATTATTATTCGTAAATTTTGTTTGTTTGTTTGTTTGTTTGTTTATTAATTTATCGATTCGTATAAAAAAAATAAAAATAAAAAAATTATTTTGATGACGACGTGACAAAAAAATTTTTTTTTTGTTGTTAATTTTTCTTTTTTTTTTTTTTTTTTTTGCAGGGGTAGCAAGTTAAAAGGGTTATGTTTCCGGGGGTTAAGTACCCCCGGAATATTAAAAAATGAAATAACGACGACGACGAGGGAAAATTGATATTAATCGCAACCACAAAACATCACAAGTGAGTTTTCATATTTTTTTCCATAATAAATAAAACTTTTCGATATTATTATTATTATTATTATTATTATTATTATTATTATTATTATTATTTATATCGTATTGTGGTTTTTGAGTAGAAGAGGGAAGAAGGGGGAGGCAAGGGGAGGGTGTAAAAATTTCGGTAAGAAAGAAAACCTTTTAACTTTCATTAAAAGTTGAAAAATTATTATTATTATTTCTTTTTTCTTTTTTTTCTTTTACCGACGTGGCTTAACAATTTCCGGTTCCTTCGCACTCGATTGACTTTTTTCAATGATGATGACAGAAAAACTTTGCCTCTCGTCTTTTATTCTACATTTTCGTAAAAAGATTTTCCTCTCGCTTTTCTTTCTTTTAAATATTAAAAAAAAAATAATTTACACTCTCTCTCTTTCTCTCTCTTTCTCTGTCTCTCTCTCTCTTTCTCTCTCTCTCTCTCTTGCTCTCTCTCTCTTTCATTTTATCGTAACAATTTTACGAGATTTTAACAATAAAAAAAAAAAAAAACTAAACATTCTTCGTCGAAATCCCTTTTTCTTTTTTTTTACCAATTGTTAAATCCACATTTATATGAAATTTATTTGTTGCAATAATAATAATGATAATAATAATAATAATAATCCTTTCACATTTAAAAAAAATTGAAATTTATTCGACACTTGTTGTATGATAATAATAATTTATTACTATAATTTTCTCTTTCGTTCATTTATATATATTTTATTATCGAACGAATGAATATTAATAGTAATGATGATAATGATGATGATGACGATAATAATAATAATGATAATAATAATAATTTAAAACCGTGTGTGTGATTTTTACTCTTTTTCAAAAATTAATAATAATAATTAAATGAGTGAAAAATTTGAGTTTGGCTCAGGTGTGAATCTTTTTTTTTTTTTTTCTGTTATTTTAATTTATTACCCGTGATCGTCACGTGTTGTCGAATAACATTTGATGATAATAATAATAATAATAATAATAATAATGATAATAATAGTAAAAATTTAAAAGAAAATTAAATAAATTTTTAAAAAATTCGAGTTGAATTTTCTTAAACCCAAAATTAATTTTAATTAATTAAATTTTTTTGTTTCTTTCGTAACAATTCTTACTTATTATTATTATTATTGCCGTCATAAAAAATGACGGTTATTTTAAAGAGCACACACGCACACCCGCACACACACACAACACAAAAACAATAGCACAATTTTGTAAACTCTGCTGTTCCAATACTAAAAGAAAGGGGAAAAAATCACATATTAAATAATATTATGTTCGGAATAAGAAAATAATAATAATAATAATAATAATAATAATAAATCAGGACAGTTTTAAATAAATCCTTTTCTTCCCCTGAGAGAGAGAGAGAGAGATGAAAAAGAAAGACGGATGCTGATTTGATATTTGGATTTAAGAAAATGAAAGAAATTAGAAAATTGAATTAGAAAAGTGAATTCGTTCAATTAATCAAAGTAAAGTAAACTAAAAAAAAAAAAACCGAAAAAGGGCACAGATACAAAATATATACTTTCAACCATTATTATTATTATTATTATCATCATTCATTCAGTCGCTGATTGATCGATTGACTGATAAAATCAATAAAATATATACTATAAAAATATATTCGCAATAAATTATTTTTTTAAAAAAAAGAAAAAAAAAATTTAAATTTTATTTTAGTCGGAATGATGATAATAATAATAATAAATAAATAAAACGAATTCGAAATAATGATAATAATAATAATAATTGAATTTTATTCTTATGTTTTTTAAATTTTATTAAAAGTTACGAGAGAGATGATGAAATCTGAACAGAAAAAAAATCGACTCGGTTCATGCATAAAAACATTTGCTTTCGTAATAAAAAGGAAAGAAAAAGGAAAAAAAGGAAAAAAAAGGAAAATAAATTTATCGGAGTCAAAATTCAATCGAAATGTTTTTTTATTTTTTTAAAAAAAAAAAGGAAATAAAAATAAAAAAAAAAGAAAAATCTGAGGTTGACAGGAAGTAGTAAGAGGCTCTCATATCGTGAGTTAATTTAATTTTCTTTTTTTTTTTTTTTTTTCTAAAACTACTTATACCTTCTTACGCTAAATTAAAAAAAAAAATATGAAATTAAAAATGTCGGAAAATTCTTAAAGATTAATTTTCTCCTCTCTCTCTCTCTCTCTCCCTCTCTCTTCATTTTCAACAAATCGAATTTGAAAGGTTCGATCGAAATGATTGATGCTGTTTTTGTTGTCTGTACAACGACGAACGATTGAAAAATTATTATTATTATCATTATCATCGTGATAGGTTTTATTTAATAAATTATTTAATTTTTTAAGGTACAAAATGATTGCGATACGTGATTGGTTGGCGAGCACAAAATTAGGTGCGAAAATATATTCATGTAGAGAATCAAGAAAATTAGTTTTGATAATTGTCGCCATTGCTCTCCTTCTCGATAACATGCTTCTAACAATAGTCGGTAAGTTTTTCTTTGGAAAAAAGAAAATATAGAAATTTGATTCCTTCTTATTCTCTCTCTCTCTCCCCCTCTCTCTCCCCTTCTCAATAAAGTGTAAACCTACTTTTTTAGAAAGAAAATTTAAAGAAAATCACGTTTCGATTATTTTCTATCGTAAAAAAAAAAAAGAAAATGGAGAGAAGAAGAAAAAAAGTTGATAAAAGCAAAAATTTACTTTTAACGATAGCAAATTATATTTTTCTATTTTTTTTTAAATATTATTTATCACCCTAAGAAAATTTTGCTTTGAAATAATTAAAAAAAAAAAAATTTTCCGCGGAAAATTTTTTGTTTTCCTAAAATAAAATGAATTGTGTTTGTATTTAAATTATATGGGCGCAACTGGTTTTTTTACCGCACAAAAAAAAAGAAGTTAATCTCACTCTTTAACCTGTTGAACTTCTTACATATAATTTTTCTTTTTTTTTTTTCATTCAATCCCAAGATAAAATCATATCAGCCATTTTTTTTTTTTATTATAAAATATTCAAAATTGATATTTTTCATTTTTTTTGTTCTTTTCCTCCTTCCCCTCCTTTAATAAAATTAAAGTTTTAAAAGTTAAAATAAAAAAATTTTTTGACATTCGTAAGTTCGAAACAAAAAAATCTTATTATTGACTTTTAACCGATCGATATTATTATTATTATTTTCTCCAGCGAAAAAAAATTTCAAAACATTTTTAATAAATTAATAAATAAATAATTTATGTATTTATTAATAGATAAACGTTAAAATGAAAAATTATAATAAATGATTGTAGAAAAAGAAAAAAATCATTTATCTTTTTTCTTAAGTGAAAATTCTCTCTCTCTTTTTTTCCATTTTTATACGATAAATAAAAGAGAGAGAGAGAGAGAGAGAGAGAGGGAAAATAGTAAAAGATTTAAGAAAGCACAGGTTGTTGATAAGATGAAAAAAAAATATAAAGACCATCTTAGAGAGAAAAAAATTTCTAGTTTTACGTTTCATGAGTTGGCTCGTGTATATAAAAAAAAATGTTTGAAAATGAATGAGCCCAATGATTTTATTCAGGGTGAATTGTTTTTCTTCCTCCCCCTACCTCCAACTCCCTACCTCCCATCCCCCCACATTACTTTCTTCCTCCATTTTTCTTTTTTCTCTTCTATTTTCATTCATTCATTCACTTACATTAAACAAAATTAAAAATTTGTTGAGTTTTTTTTTTTTTTTATTTACGTAATTAAATTTTTAAACGCACGACGAATTTTATTAATTAAGAGTTTATTTATAATAATAATAATAATAAATAAGCGTTATTAATTTTTATATATATGAGAAAAAATTATATTATCGCGGAAGGGATTTAAAGGATGAACGCACACCCACACACAATTAATAATAATGTGAAAATTTATTTATTTGGAAAATTTTGTGGGGAAAATTATTTTTTTGTGTTGTGTACAAGCAATCGAGTAGATAATCATCGATGGTTTTGTCAAGAGCAAAAACCTCTCGTACTTGTCAGTAGCAAAACATTTCATAACGATTTGATTTTCATTTTTTTTTTTTTAAATTTCAGTCCCGATATTGCCGACATTTTTGTACGAAATGCAGCATCCGAACGAATTAAAATTAAAAAATTTTACGACACCTACGCCGCCTCCGCCGCCTCTGCCTCCCCAAATAATTATTATTAATCCATGTAATGAAACTTTACCCTCAAATTTAACATTACCATCACCAACCGAGGGAACGACCACTGGTGAGTTTATTTTCCTATTTATATTATTTTCATTTTTACGATCAAAAACATGAATGAAACAAACGCGGTTGTTTGTTTGTTTTTTTGTTTATGCAGTCAATGCAACACAGGATGAAATAAAAGAAGAAGAAAGACATAATGAATTAAATAAAGAAAATGTGGATTTAGGTTTGATGTTTGCTTCAAAAGCTTTCGTACAACTTCTTGCGAATCCATTTATAGGACCTTTAACACACAAGTGAGTAGGAAAAATTCCCACCCCCACCCCCACCCCCGTTTGGAAATTCATCAAAAATTTTCCTTTTTTTTTTTTTTACAGGATCGGTTACAGCATTCCAATGTTTGCTGGATTTGTCATCATGTTTTTATCAACAATAAGTAAGCATATTATTATGTTTTTTATGTTTTAATAAATATTAATAAAACTTATTAAAAGTTTTCATTGAAGGTGGTTCTCACGAATAAATCCAAAAATTACAAAAAAAAAAATGTTTATCCCTGTTTAATTTTGTAAAAACACAAAACCTTGACAAAATCAAAAAATTGGGTGTGAAAACAGGGATAGAAGGAAAAAAAAAAACCACAAAGTCCTTAGTTAAATTATAAGTTTTAAGAAATGGTGGTAATATCCTACAGGAAGCGATGATGATGATGATGATGATAATAATCCTACGAATCCTGTGGTTTTCCTTAAACTTTCCTTATCACGCTCTCGGTTTTAAAAGTTATATTATTGCCTTTGTTAAAACTTATTTTCTTACAACATTAATTTTCTTTTTTAATAAAAACAAAATGGCTGCGTTTGTTTTTTAAAGTTCGTTTTGTGTTAATTTTCAATCGAAATTATTTATTTTAAATGTTTTGTTTTTTTTCCCGCCCCCCATCTTTGTAGTTTTTGCGTTTGGAAGAAGTTATGGTGTCTTATTTGTTGCAAGAGCTCTTCAAGGTATTGGATCATCTTGTTCGAGTGTTTCAGGTACTGTCCACATGCACATGCACAACATTACAATTTAAACTTTTTAATTAAAATAATTTTATTGTACAGGTATGGGAATGTTAGCAGAACAATATTCGGATGATAAGGAACGTGGAAATGCTATGGGAATCGCACTTGGTGGTTTAGCTCTTGGTGTTCTTATAGGTCCACCATTTGGTGGTTTCATGTCGGAATTTGTTGGAAAAACTGCACCTTTTCTTATTTTATCCATTTTGGCTTTAGGCGACGGACGTAAGATTATTTTATATTTTGACAAAAATATTATTTAAATAAATTATAATAAATATATTATTTTTTTTTTTTAGTTTTGCAACTTCTCGTGCTACAACCCAGCATTGTTAAAACTGATTTGGAACCGCCATCTTTAAAATCGTTAATTACCGATCCTTACATTCTCGTAGCCTCAGGTATTACTTTGAAAACCGTTGATAAATGTCGTCGGTTACAAAAATAAATAAATAAATAAAACTTTTAGGTGCGATCACTTTTGCAAACATGGGTATAGCTATGTTGGAACCATCTCTTACCATACACATGATAGATAAAATGAAATCGAAACAGTGGGAACAAGGTGTCGTGTTTTTACCAGCTTCGATATCGTACCTGATAGGTACTAACTTGTTCGGACCTTTGGGACATAGAATGGGAAGATGGTTGGCAGCACTTTTGGGTTTAATTATAATCGGATGCTGTCTCATATGGGTAATTTATTTAAAAATAACAAAGGAAGAATCCCGGGCGTAATATTAAATTTTTATTATATTTTCAAAGATACCAAGTGCAGACAACATAAATCAGCTCATAGCTCCAAATGCAGGTTTGGGTTTTGCTATTGGCATGGTAGACAGTTCGATGATGCCAGAACTTGGATTTTTGGTAGATATTCGTCACAGTGCTATTTACGGTAGCGTTTATGCCATCGGAGACGTTGCTTTTTGTTTGGGTTTTGCTGTTGGTAAGGAATAAAACAAAATTTTCTTTTTTGTTTTCCGGTACGGAAAAATCTCAATAAATATAATAATAATTATTTTTTAGGTCCCGCTTTGAGTGGAACGTTAGTCAGTTATTTTGATTTCAATAAAATGTTATACGGTGTTGCCATTTTTAACTTTCTTTACGCGCCACTTTTACTAATGCTACGTTCACCGCCTACTAAAGAAGAAAAGAAGGTTGTGCATTATTTTAAAAATAAATAATTTTTTTTGTAACGTACGATTAATTCGTAAATATAAAAAAATTTTTTTTCTTTCTAGTCTTTGGTTCCATCGGAAAATTCAACTTGTCGATACGTAACGTATCAAAATGAAGAAGATGACGAATAGCAACGTATTTTCGTCTGGTAAACACATCCAGGCTTTTAAAACAAACATATTAAGAATATCAAAAGAAAATCATATCATCATAAAAAAAAAAACAGTTGTTTGTTTTCAACCAGGAATATAAATATATATCATCACATATATAATCAAATAAGTTAAAAAAAAGTCCAACCTACAGGGTAACCAAAAAAAATTCGGGCACAAAATTTAAAGTCGAATTTCTTACTGAACAATTATATTTTGGCAATTTAATTAATTTTTAGGATTTTTCACCTCTTAAGAATTACGTGAATGGCTGCACGTAATTTGCTCTCGTTATAAATAAAAAGAGAAAGAGGTTTTTTATAAAATTAGAAAAATCCAAAACATTTTTTTTTTAATTATAATTTAATACAATCAAAATTAAAAGAAATTAAAAAATGGAAAAATTTGTTCAAATGAAATCGACTGAAAAAATTTCATTATTAAATCTATCAATCATTTTGATTTCAATATATATACTCTTAAAATATATTATTTATTAATGGCGTAAAATACTATATAAAATTATTATTATTATTGATGTTTATATTATATCTATTAGAATATATAATAATTAATTAAATATATATATATATTACTAAAATAAATAAAAAGGGGAAACGAAATATTAAAAATGATAATAATGTAGTGTTTGCATGCATATATATATATATATATTATATGTTACATGATGTTTACAATCATATATATATATATTAATAAATAATAATAATAATAATAATATATCGGTTAAATATATATGTAAAAGGAAAAAGGATCGTCAGATACGATGATAAATAATAAAAAAATTTCCAAGCTGGTATGGGTCCGAAAGTCAAAAATTCACAAGATATCTTTAACCGAAGGTTTTCTTGTTTAAATGTTTTAGTTATAAAATATATATATGTTTTTAATTATATATATATTATATATATAATCAAATATTCTATATAAATATGATATATTATATTGTTTTAAATGTTTTATATATTTAATGTTTTATTGGAAAAATTTAACAGTACTTATGGCCCTTTCTGTATTACATTAAAATTATTAATATTTATATTATTATTATTATTATTATCGATGTTAAATGTTGAATTAATAATATATATATAATCATTTATGGGAAATTGCTTTAAATAAAAATTAATTAATTTAAATATGTATGTTATAATCAATAAAAGCTGAAACGTGGTGCAAATAAATAAAATGTATTTAGTAGTTATTTTCCTTTTTTTTTTTTTTTTTAATGTTTACCAACCTGAAATTTTCCTTTATTTATATTATTGACACACACAACAAAAGGGAGAAGGGAGCGGGAAGGGGGGGGGGGTGGAAAACAAAAGAAAAAATAAAATTAAAAAAGTAAAAAAATATATATATTTATCAAGTTAAAAATATAAAAATTATTTACAATTTTTTATTTCTAAAAACAATAATAATAATTAATTGTGATTAAAACGGTCACAAGTAAGCTCCCCAACCAAAATACATTTGACACAAATTATCTATATCGGTGGCTTCGATGATTAAAGATCTTACTTGACCTTCGACCGATAGATAAACATCACCTTGTTTTTGTTTCGATCTTAATGAACCGTTTAATCTTTTTTCAATGTCGCTTAATTCGCTGAACGCCTGAAATAATAAAGAAAAATCATCATCATCATCATCATCATCATCATCATCATCGCATATAAATGTGAATGAACCTACTTCTCCTATTTTTTGATCTCTTTCGTTTTGCACGATTTCTTTATTTTTTCCCCAGCTTCCGAAAGGATCGTATGCAAAAGGAGTTAAAACGGACATGAGAGTTTTTATTTGTGATCTGAGCACTCTCAAACTTATTTCGCATGATTTTCTAAATGTTCCTTCGACTCCGAATGGACCCATGGCTGCCACCATGTTGTGAGTTAGTCTAAAAGGTACTCTCTCTTTCCATTCGAACTTTTCACCCTAGAAATGTTTGGAAATCGCACCTCAGTAAAACAACAAATCAACTAAATATCATTTTTGTTATGTTTTATTAACAAAAACCTTATTAAATAAACAATTGAAATCCACGTGAACCGTATCCCCGGATTCCGAATCGAACAAAATATTTTCCCCGTGACGATCACCCAAACCTAATATGTAACCCACCATGGACATGACAGCTGTTGTCCGAACGTAAGACTCTCTCGCAATGTACCTGAAACGATTAAAAATTTGATCCTTTTTTTCTCTCTTTCCCCCCATTAATTAAAAAAACCCAACGAACCATCCAGAAGAATCGGGAAACGTTAAACGAAACCATTCGGGAAATAATGGCGGATGTAAAACTAGTAGTTTTTCCGTAAAAATTTTCCTCTTTTTTTCCAACGGATCTCTTGCCAAACACTCGTTTCTTTTTATTTCTTTTGTTTTAACGTATTTTCCAAATTGTTTGTAAATCTTAATTAGAATCTGACGTAAACCTGTTAGGTTGGGAACCCATTCCAGCAAACCGCCATTTTCACCGAGAGGAGTCACAACCTTAATTAAAAATATATATATAGATAATTTAATCGGGAATTTTTATTATATGAAAAAAAGGGAAACTGACATAAGTTCTGATGTGAAGTCTACGCAATCTAGATTCAGGATCTCTTCTCAGGTACATGTTAACGATATTATTAAATTCCATGAGTCGTCCGTCTCTTCGGAGATCATCCTTTGGCTTGCATAAAATATCATATAATTTTCCATCGGATCCGCGAAATGAAATTTTCCGGGGTCTTTGTAAACTTTGTAAAACGGTTACTTCTTCTTCTATTCCTAAATCGATTAATCATTTTTATAATCTGATTAAACTAAAAATATTTAAAAAAATATGGTAAAAGCAAACCTGTGATGTAAACAGCTTGTTTTGGAAAAGGTTCGTGACTCGATGATAAAACGTTTCTAGGTAGAGAAATCGAACAAAATCGTGTTATGGGAACAATTATGGCGCTAAATTTTTCTGACGATAACAATTGAGGTAATTCTCGAACAATCGATGAAACTTTTAATCCGCAAAAAGCAGTTTCCTAAAAGAAAAAGGCGACATGAATTCGTTTTGTATGTACAAAAAATTCTTTTTATGATTAGATCATTCACTACCTGAGAAAGATTTCGATTCGTGAGTTTATTTAATTTATCGCAAAGATTAGTAAAATCTCCGATGAGTTTGAGTAAATCGTTGGATCTCAATGCAGCTTCCTGAATGAATTCGTTATATCGTAAAACACGTTCAGAAACCGACGACTGAAAAATTATTTTTTATTTAAATTTTCCTTTTTTTCATTTTCCATATTTAATATTAACCAACCTTCGCAACGGCTTGTATTGCCCATAAAGATTGTTGAGGAAACGAACGTAAAAGAACGGTTAAAATGTTTTTTAATAATAAAAATACTTTTCGATTCGGATGACCTAAACGTGAAAGCAATTGCGGTAACGCCGTCATGAAAACGAAAGCGGGTAAATTATCCACGAAACCCTCTGAAAATATTTTTGATTATTACAACAACAACAACAACAACAACAAACAGAAAAATTAACGCTTTTCGATAATTCTCACGAATTATTTTGTTGATTTTTTGCAAAGCCAAAGACTTTTCATCCGAATCGATTTTTTCTCCTAAATCCAACCAAATGCTCAACATTCTCGGCACCGTTTGATAAATGTATTCGCATCCGTACATTAAAGATTTACCAAAATGGAGGACCATCAATACTTTCAATTCGCAAACTTTTTTCTGTTCGTGTTCGCTGTGACCGATGTGTTGAACGACGCGATCCATGCACTGTCCTAAAAATGCCTGAAATTAAATACTACCCGAATAATAACCATTTTGAAAAAAACAAAAAAAAAAAGGGGTGATTAAAAAACGACCGGGAAAATTTTCACCTCGGTTTTTTCCAAATGTCTACAAACTTCAAAAGCATTTTGATAATTGGTCATGTTCGTATTATGATCGCAATTCGATGTTTCTTCGTTGTAAATCGCGTAAAGTAATTTAGCTTCCGCGCACATTTTCCTTTCTTCCAATTTTTCACCCGGAGGCAAATTTCTCATTTCCGCTTCGTTCGGAAAAAATTCTTTTAGTCCGCTTCGCAACGTGTGCAAACATAAATCTTGATCGTTTTTATCCCAATAAAGTTGAGCTTTTTCAATAAACGTCAATGGAATGTTGTATTGTTCGGCATTGAGTATAAAATTGTAGGCTTGATGAAAACAACCCGCACTAAAGAAAACAATATTTATTTCCGGTTCCGGTTACTACCACGTAAACAATCCATTTTTTTTCAACTTACTTTCTCGCAATTTCGGCACTTTTAACCCAATTTTTAGCAATTTCCGTTTCTAAAAATTTTTCATTTTCTTTCGGCAGTAAATTTTTCATTATTCTCAATAATTCACGTCTCATGCTCAAAAGGGATTCCATGGAACTGTGATCGGATTGAACGACGCTAAATCTCAAATTCCATTCGTCTAACAAATCTTTGATTTTAGAATTATCGGAAAATGGATGATCGGTGACGACTTCGAAAACTCTTTCAATTTCATTTAATATTTGCAATCTGAGAAAAGAAAAACCATATTTTAGTTGAGTGGAAAAAAAAAAAAAAAAAATTTTTGACAAAAACAAATGTAACTTACTTTATTAAACAAAAATATCCTTGGTGATAATCGCTAAATTCCAAACCGACTTGCTTTAACGAATTTGATAATTTTAATCTGGCATTTAATAAAACATCCAAAACATTTTCTTTTTCTTTCTTATTGACGCTCACGAGCAAACGTCCGACTTGATAAAACCAATCAGATTCACGTTCGTATTTATTACTGCTTAAAAACTTATCGAGTTGCGAATAGTCGCCCAATTTTATTAAACACTCGGTCATTTCCTAAAAAAAAAATTAATTTTGTGATCGATCGATTGATTGAAAGAAAAAAATGTATTCCTTTTTGGTTTCTCACTTCCGATAAAACGGACATTATTTCCGGTTCGTCTTTCGTTAATGAATTAATATAATTAAGGGCCGTGTAAGGTTCTCCCAATTTCAGATAACACTGTATTATCTCTTGAGTGTGATTCGGTATCAGTATTCCGTCCATTCCGAGTTTTTCATAAATTACTCTCACTTCCTAAAATCAATCGATCAATCGATTAATTATTATTATTATTATTATTATTTACGAATGGTTTACACGTGAGGTGATGATCGTCAATTACTTCCAATTGTCCCGAAACTTGATGACTCAATAGCAATTCGTCGATTTTCGGTGCACTTTTTTGAAATGTGGTCGAACCGGCAACACTGTCCAAATCCCCGTACAAGGCATAAGCTTTTGACAATAGTGGTAAATGCTCTGATAAATTTCCCGTTTTTAAAATGACGTCTTCGAGGTACATGATGGCGCGCGGATATTCTTCTATTTCGTAATTGGCAACGGATATTTTAAAATAATCGACCTTTTCCAGAAAATCTGAAATTTAATATTATTTAATAAAATTTATTTGAAAAAAAAAAAAAAAAATTAAAAACATACCGTTGACAATAATATAATCTCGCTTTTGTAAATGATCACCGTTGGCCGTGCAAAGAACGGATCTGTAAACTCTCAACCAAGATTGCAAAAAATCTATGAGTAAAAATACTGTCATGGCGCAATTTTTAGCCTCAGATTCGCTAATGGTTGACCTCATGTTGGGATACCCGCAATAATCTGTTAACCTAATAAAAAAAAAAAAATTCTATTAAAACTAATATATTATTCCATTACGTTTAAACCATATTATAATTACCTGATCGGCCTGGCTTGATGAGTAAAACGATCATTTTCGATATTTTGCGGAGTGTAATTTATAACCGCTTCGATTTCTTTTATTATGTTATCGTGAACAGAAGAATCACGAATTATGGCTTGTACTGAAAAAAATTTAAAATGAGAAAAATCATACTCTCTCGGTCACATTTTACCTTGGTGATAACAATTTTAAAAATGACGTACGTAAAATATATTGCAAAAAAAATAACAAAACTTTCGTGTCTCTCTTTAAGCTGGGTTCACAAGCTTTGAATAACAAAACTGCTCTTTCATCCTTGCAATAATTAATTAGCTTACTCGCCCATAAACTTGCCCAACCTATGTGAGTATTAGCACCTTTTGATCCGAAAACTAACTCGGGCCAATTATCTCGTTGCGGCGATTGTACCTTAAACCACGAACTCAGCATCGGAGTCATTAAATTTTGAATTTGATTAGGAAAACGATTCCAAATACCATTTTCGCTATTCGGACCGATTTGATATAATTTTAATAACTCCTGAATTAAAAAAAGATATCAATTATTACCTCATAAATAATAATTTTTTTTTTTTTTTTTTTCAATTACCTGAATTGCAATGGCAAAAGCATCCATGTCCACCGAATTCCTCGCGTTTTGAAAACCTCGGGTAATTTCAGTCAAAGCCAAAAATGCAAATTCGGAATCGTGTACAGAAAGTGGTAATAAATTTTTAGGTTTGGGTTTTCTCGGTAATAAACCCGGATCTACAGCTCCCAACTGTCCTAAACACGAAGCTGCCAAACTTGAAATATTACCGTCAGAGTCACTACAACTAACCACCTAAAAAACAACAAGTCGTAAGAGTACATACTACGTACGTTTCGGCCGCCATTTTCTTTCTTAAAATTTTACCAAACACTCCAATAAAGTTTTAATACAAGAATCCGGTTCATCGCTCCCGATGATTAAATTTTGTATTTCAGACAGAAATTTCCGAACGGTCAATTGAAGTGCCTTTAAACCCTCGATTCTAACACCAACGGTTTCATGCATTGCTAGTCCAATCTCACGAATCAACTTATCTCTTAAAGTCTCACTGCGAAAAGAAAAAAATGTAAAAAAATGAAAGGGAAAAAAAATGTCGGGAAAAAATCAGGTATGTTGTTGTACCTTTCGAACGAAATGTATTTTTTGAGTTTTGCTTTGACTTGACTTAATAGCGGATGATCCGGAATAAATATTAAACTGGGTAGAAAGTCTTTGACGGCGTCTTCATTTTTCACAATTAAATAATGGAATATTCGCGAAATGGCCGTGGGTAAATATTCCAAAAAAGGTAGTAAAGAAATTACAATCGTAGCAAGTAACGGACCGAGTTCTTTGGGTTTAATCCTAGAATAAAAAACGAAACAAAATAAAAGTTATTGTTAATTTTTACCTTTTTATACCATCAACAAAACGAATGAAAAATAATTTACGTTTGAATAAAAATATCCCACGCATTGACTTGAACCGCCAAATAATTTTGATTATGAATTGTGCCAAGAGTGGTTTGCAACGTTGCCAAAACTTTTCTAGCCACTGGTGTCACGTATTTTTTACCCATCAATTCGATCACAGATCCTAACGAATGAACGGCTTGAACTTTTTCCGAATCCGCATTTATTTCTTTAACGAATTTGCTAACGATGAATAATAAATATCCCACAAATCGAGGTTCCAAACTTTCAGCCTGAAATCATATCATATTATATTTATCATTTACTCAAACAGTAATTAGAAGTAAGCAAATTGATAGAAAATAATAATAATCCTTACTATTTCTTGTTTTCCATTTTCCATCGACAAACCGATGACTTTTTTAATGGCAGTGAGAACTTTTTCCGAAGCTCTGTGATAATTAAAAAGTAAATGATTCAAAATAACTTTCTGCGAATGCGTAATGAGATCGGATAATTTCAAACTTGTCAATTTTTCAATATGGTCCATGCACTTTTCAAACGTTTCAACGGTCTCGTTCAAAAAAATATAGATGTAAATGGCCTGGTAACAAGTAAGATGAATGAAGTGTAATTTTGACTTTTTAAAGAACATTTTAAAATATCGTAAAAAAAAATATTACGTGGAAAGATCTTGTCAATATGGCGGACAAAGGTTGTTCGGCAAATGATGACCACTCCTCCAGTAAATCTTCTGCTTCGCGATAACGAGTAGCCCAGAGTATTAAAACAGGTACCATGTAATTTTCACTTCCCGTACAGAATTTCGACTCGGAAAGGCCTTTAAAAATGGTAATCACCTCTAAAAGAGTGGAACGAATCGAAATTTTATACTGGATCCTATTTATCGCTACCAAATTTCCTAAAAACTAAATGAAAAATATGAGAAATTGAAGAAAAAAAATTTTTTTTTGAATGAATATTTGGTTAAAATTACGTGACTTATTTCCGGTCTGAAGGAGCAATACAATAACAATGGCGTCGTCTTGTGAGCAGCTGCAATTTCTAAAAAAATAGCCGGAAGTGAAACGTTAGGATTTCCAATGTATAACAATAACAATCTAATACTCTTGCTCAAAACTTGCTTCGTCGGAATGCTAAAAATAATAATAAGAAACTTATGACTTCTTCAAAAAAAAAAAAAAATGTTTATTTGCTACAGGAAACAATAAAATACCTGGCTACGTTAACTAAGGATTCGAGAAGTGTGATTTGTAATGATGCATGATTTTTAGAATTCAAACTTAAATGAATCAATTCTTCTAATTTTTGAAATAAAACGTCCAAAATTTCCGTTATGCCGTTATTATCGTAATAAACATCTTCCGTAATTTTTTGCAACGAATTCGTATTTTTTTGCTTCGATTCATTTTTGATATCGTTTAAAAAACGACCGTACAAAATAAATTTGATATTTTTCGATAAAATACAACGAACTTCTTCGTCGGAATCGCTACGAAAATTAATACTTACATTAAATCATCTAATTAAATGTTAATTATAATATTAATTAAATTTCGTAAATAATTACCTTAGGAAAAGCAAAAGTTTTCCCATAATATTTGCGTTGGTTAAAAGTTTCACGTGCAACGTCAAACGAGGTAGTTTTTTCAAAAATTTTTTTTTTATATAAGAATCGTGCATTGGAATTTTCGATAATAATTTTGTAAGAATCGATTCTATTTGAGACAAATCGTTTGGAGATTTTTCCATGTAATTTTCCGACCAACAATTTTTACAATAAACTATCAACTCCAGATTATTATTTCTAAAAAAAAAATTTTTTTTTAATAAACTTTGTTTATTTTTAAATTTAAGGAGAGTCATACCTTCTCATGTGACCTGTTCCTGCTAAAACACAAACTAAATCCACAACTGTATCAATTAAGACTCCTAAAAGTTCTTTATTATCCTGAGATGCGACTGGCATTAAAATTTCTGAAATAAGTCTTACAGGAGATACTTTTTTTATTAGGGAAAAAAAGGGAACACTTTTTACCGCTTGAGTGGCAAGTGGTTTGTTACATTCTCCCAAAGATGAATATTTTGAATATATTGGAATGAGACTATCAACAGGTACATTTAAAGGAAAAGTACTTAAACATTTAAGAAATAGGATGGGAATCTCTGAATCTGTAATTACAAAAAAAAAATAAAATAAATCGATTATTAACAATACATGATTTGTTTTAAAATAATTAATAATTACTTACTTAAGGGTAAAGATCCAAAACCAGGTACATTAAATTTTGGTGACGACAGAGGAGTAATTAAAAACTTAACAACACTTTTACACGATTCCTGATCTTGAAATTGTGCCTCAGGCATACTCAAAAGATATGAAAATGTTTCCATTGCCAACTGAAAAAAATTGATAAAATCCTTAAATTAAATAAAAAACTAATTTTTTCTCCTTAAAAATTAATTGAAATGATAATTACCAACAAAACTTTTTCTTGATTCGATGAAATATACTGTAAATCATTTATTATTTTTTTTAAAAGTGTACAGAAAGAATTACCGAAAAAACTCATCATATTCATTGCATGGGAGGAAAAATTTTTCATATCGAGTTTATGAAGTATTTGACATGAAAATTTTGCAATTTGAGAAAAACTTTCTAATCTTGTTTTGGCTCCAACTTGATCATTATTTTCTAGTAAAAGTTGAAAAAAGGAAAATATTTTATTCCACGTGTTACTAAAGTCGATTACATTAAGTGAAATTTCATTTGATTCAATGCTTTTTTGTTCTTCTAGATCAATTTTATTTTTGTTAAAATAATCTTCTATTTCTTCGATGATAAAATCCAATGACAGATACATTTTTTCCTGAAAGCATTCTATAAATTCAGTTTAAAAATAAAACATATTATTTTATTGGGGAAAAAAAAAATTTAAAATAAAATACTCACGCTAAAAGATATGTTAGAGAACTCGTTTAAAAAATTAAATATTTCAGTTTCTTCTGTTATCTTAGACAGTAAAAAGCTTATTTCATTAATTAGAAAACTTTTTATCATACTGCATTTTTTATTTTGTAAAATGTCAGAATTTAAAAGACATTTAACAAAGTTTTTACAACATGAAATATTTAATAAATTTTTATTTTTGATCGAAACCCAAACATGACATAAATTTTGCTGGTAAACGGAATTCTGAATAACATTCGAGTCCATAATCATCTGATATAAAATTTTAAGTACTATATTAAGGACCTAAAATGGAAAAAATTAACTTTAAGTTTCTTATTATTTATGCCAAATTAACAAATTGGAAAATAAAAGTAAGTACTAACATTATTATTTAATAAGAATTCATCACTTGAAATTAATATATCGCTCAGCAACGGTAGAACCAGGTAAGTGATTTCATTAAGATTAGACTGCGTTAATACCAATAATGTTTTCCAAAGTAAAAATTTGACTTCTGCCGAATGATAATTGATGAGACTTAAAATGCTTTTTAAAACCTAAAAATAAATAATTCAATTTTTTTGCTTTTAAAATAATAAAGAATCAAAAGTTTTTTTGGTAAAAAAGAATACATTAAAATATTTACATTAAAAAAATTACCTCAATAACTATCGATGCCAAATCAATTTGCTCTGCAATATTGCTAACTTTAAATTTTGTGGCTGGTAATGTCTTATGGTAATCGAGAAGAAGAAAATCATTTTCAAGAATGAATGTGAATTCCGCAGGGAAAGCTTTGACGTGAATAAGTTTTTCCAGTAATTTAATATATGACTCGACAAGTTTTTCAAAAGCATATAAGTCTCTTTCAAAACTAGATATTAAAAGCTTTGATTGTGATACAGTATAAAAAGTTTTTAAGTGAGGAAGCGAATGATTTGTAGATGCTTTCAAAAAGCCTTCGAGCAACCAAGAAGCAAATGGGGACACAACGTTACCAGTATAATCTTCTCCACTTAAACATTCAATATCGGACAACAAAGGAGTTTCGATAATAGAAGTAGTTAAGGATTTTAAAGCGTTGTCTCCATTTTTTACGTTTTGAAATAACAATGATCCAATCCGATGAACTTCCAGCCAATACTGTACAGTTCCTTTAAATTTATCATTGCTATCTTCCATTGTAAAGTACTTTTAATTGACTAAAAGAAATGTTAAAAAAAGTCGTACAAGATTTGCAGAGACAAACCATTTATATTAAAATGATGAAAGACAAATTAAACAATAAAAAAATTAAGCCCAGCTTAATATTTAACTTTTTATACGAATCAGAGTAGTTTCCCTGAGTCCGTTACACAATTTTAATTAATTATTTACTCTAAGAAAAATTAACTTAAACTTTCAATTTAAATGTAATTTTAGTCGTCAATGTTGGTACACTTGTTCAAGACTATTTCAAATCTTAAAAAATAAACGCTTCTAAACTAAAATTTTTTTCTGACTTGAAACTAAATTTATTTCAATAGCTATTTTAGTCATTTAGTTTTAAATAATAAATAAATAAAATTATGACTTAAGGGAAAATAAATTTAAAAAATGACATCGTTTGTTCAAATCATTTTGAAACCTTTTAGAAAAATTTGGTACTTTACTATTTACCTGTTTAATGAAACCTGTTTAATTTTGAGAAATTAATTTTTGCCTTTTTTTTTTCCAGGCATATCGCTTACAATAAATGGTTTAAATTCAAAATAGAAATTAAATCACTTTTTTACAATAATTTTTTAGATATAAATTATGTTGGAGATATATTTATGGAACCGATGTTTTGGTTCGTTGATAACTTTACCAAAATGCTGGGACCGTTTTTCATAGCAGCAGTTAGTTGTTTAACTACTTGCATTGTATTAATTTGTTATGTGATAGGGCTACCTTATTGGTGGAAAAAAAGTCCTATTACAACAATATTTTTATTAATATTTGGAAATTGGTTGCTTTTAAATATAGCATTTCATTATTTTATGGGATGTTATGTTTCACCAGGCTTACCTCCTAAAAGTGCACTCATACCTGTTGCCGTTAGTATTTGTAAAAAATGCATAGCACCAAAACCACCTAGAACCCATCACTGCTCAGTATGTAATAAATGCATTCTTAAAATGGATCATCATTGTCGTATCCTTTTAAATTTTTACAAAAATATGTTTTACTAAAACTAAATTTATAAAAAATCTCATGAAAATTTTTCTTAATTATATCATCAGCATGGCTAAATAATTGTGTCGGATTTTATAATCACAGACATTTTTTTTTATATACAGTTTATATGACTGCAGGAGTTTTGTTTTTAATAATTTTCGGAGTGGAAATTGCTTACTACTCTGTTTACTTAGAAAAATCTTTAGACAAATGTTTTGATCCGGAAGAAGAAGAAGAAGAAGAATTGATTGGTCATCCTGTAAAATTTAATAACACAGTAATGATTCCAGTAATTGACCATGATGCTAAAATTTGGGATATGAAAAAAATAGAAAAAAATTGTATAATATTTACCGCCCTTATTTGCTTAGGTTGGTTAAATTTTAGTATTATTATTATATTATATTTAATATAATTAGAGTAATAATTATTTAAAACTTAATTTTCAGGTGTATTAATAGCATTAGGATCTCTATCAATTTGGCATGGTAGACTTATATCAAGGGGGGAAACGAGTATCGAAGGAAATATTAATAAGACTGAAACTATTAGATATGCTAAACAAAATAAAATTTATGTAAATCCATATGATTTCGGTTGGAAAACTAATTGGAAATTATTTTTGGGTTTAAATGAAGGTAGAACATGGTTTCATGTTCTTTTTCCTTCGACTCACAAACCTATAGGAAATGGTATTATGTGGGATACAATTTTTTCAGAATATAATGATAGTTTTTTAAAAGAAATCGAATACAAAGAATTTAAGGTTGAGAAAAAAATTTTCTAATTGATTTTTCCAAAATTAATTGTGAAAAAACAAAATCATTTGTAAAAATTATTAATGTCATAATCAATAAGACTTATTCTTTTATTCCCTATATTTTCTGTAATAATTTTGAAGTTTTTTTTTTTTTTTTTTACTTAAATGCATTTTTTATTATTTCAATTACTGGACTTTTCTGGATAATTTGAAATATACATAAATTTTTTAAATATATATTTTTAATACTAATAATAATGATCCTGTAATATGTCAAAAAAAGAACATTTATTTGAAAAAATCCGTAAAAATTTTATTAAATCAAACTTAAATATTTATTTAATTTTTTTATATTTTTAAAAGTTACCAAATCAGTTTATTATTATTTTTTTTTTATTTAGTTTTACAATAAAATATAATTTGTACAAAATTATTTCAATGTATTTTATTTATTTATTTTCTCCTTTGGTTTAAAGTACCTTACTTAAAATAATAAGTACCTAATAGTAAACCTTTTTAAAAAAAAGGCCGTCGTACACTATACTCGTTACTAGTTCATGTAAAAATTTCAATTTATTAAAATAAACTCCTCAAAAAATATATTTATTATTATTATATTTAAGGACGTATTTATTAAAAAAATAAAATTATCTCTTTTATTTTTTTTTTTAAATAAAGGATTTTTATTATTCCGGCCATACAATACTTTCAATCCATGGAATATAAGCAGAAACTTTTGTATAGACTCCAGTAGAATTTGGCAAAGCGCAACTTTTTCCAAAGGATGTTATTCCAACGATGTGATGAATACATTTCGTATTTGTTATACTCAAAGGACCACCAGAATCTCCCTTTAAATACGAGATGAATTAATTTTTTTGTGATAAACTAAGACAAATTGAAAATTTCTGGTTTTTTAAATACCTGACAGGTGTCTTTTCCACCGCTGAGCTCTCCCGCACAAACCTGACTATCGACGATACCCCTGGATAAAACTTCAGTTTTAACGTTAAATTTATAAAGTCGATTACAAGTGTCGTTGTCAACAATACTCAAAACAACTTTTTGTAAAATATCGCTCGATTTTCCATCTGTAATAATATGGAAAAAAAAAAAAAACAAAATGGTTGCGGCAAAAGGTAATCAAAATGTCAACCCTAATGATATGCATACCATAAGACATTACCGTAAAACATGCGGCCCCAACCGGTGGCTATAGCTTTTGTCAGAGAGTATGTGTCACCCAAATAAAGGCAAGCGGGTCGTATGTGTTTGAAAAATTGTACTCTTCTAGATAATTTAAGCAAAGCTATGTCGTGGTATTTCGAAGGAGGTTTATATTCCGGATGGGTTATAATATCAGACACGGCATAATCTACCGGATGTGCTCCGTCGTCATTTTTCAACAAATTGTACTCCCCAAGACGTACTTTAACCGGAGGCCCCCTTAAAAGTAAAAATGTTTATGTACCCTCATGGTTTCCAGAAATATTTTCCCTTCTCATTTACAACGTTTTTAACTTACGAACTTGTCGAAGTGCAATGCGCTGCAGTTAACACGAATTGTTCGCTGATTAAGGTTCCACCGCAATTCCAAGCGATACCTTGTTTGTTTCGATCTCTGAAACCTACGGCTGCCTGAAAATTCGTGTAAAATTTTTTTTTATTTTTTTAAATAAAAATTGTATCATAAATTTCTACTTTACCATATGTGGAAATTCTCCGATTGTTGTATTTTCACCTCCCACAATCAATTGCTGTGCCTGAACACATTTCCGAACGGATATGACTACAGGATTGGGATCGATGGTCAGAGGCAATCCGGTTATATTTTTCGTTATTTCTTTACTATATTCCTGACATTCTGAACAAATTTTTTTTTTTTTTCATTTAATAAAAAGTAAAAAATTTTCTTTTAAATTTTCATTCCATAGTTAAACTTACTAATTTCGCTTTTCCTCAATTTTCCATGTGTGACAGGACTTGAAGTTGGTTGAAGATTAGATGGCCGTGAACTTGTTTGTGGTGCAAAAGTATATCGATTAGATTCGGTAGAAGTTTTATGAGGCCAATTAATCGATGAATTTTCATTGTTGTTGTTGTTGTGGTTGTTGTTGTTGTTGTTGTTGTTGTGGTTGTTGTTGTGGTTGTTGTTGTTGTATGAATCATGAGGATACAAATTTGACGCGGCGGTTGTGGTTTTTTGCGACCATTTATTTTGTTTTGTCGTGGTCCATTGATTATTATTATTATTATTATTATTATTATTATTATTATTATTATTATTATTATTATAATTATTATGATTTTGAGTGTTAATATCATGAGGTCTATTTGTTACCTTTCCTCCCGGTACCATCCATTCTGGTCTTTTAGTTGTTGTCATTCTATCCGGTTCCATCCATTTATTCGGTTTGTTATTACCCTTATTATTATTATTATTATTATTATTGTTGTGTTTGTTCGGACCCTTTTGCCCGTGTCCGTGATTAGGTTTTTTCGTAACGTATTCATAATAATAATTATTATCAGGAATTTTTTCATCCTTCCATGGTTTTTTCTTAGCTAATCCCGGTGGAATAAAATGATCGAAAAATCCGTTATTTTTTCTCTTGTCTTCATCATTTTCTGGAATGACGGTTTCTATGTAAAATTTATTTGGAGTTAATTCGTATTGTTCATAATCGCCATGTTGTTGATTATTTGCATCGAAACCTGAAAAACTACTCAATCTTTCGACATTTTCTTTTCTATCTCTAGGTAAATGTTTTATCGTTGTTATTAAATCTAAACAACAAACCGATGTTCTCTGTAAAAAAAAAAAAAAAAAAAAAAAACGTTTTAAAAGAGGGTCAAAGTTCAATTTTCAAGAAAATTTGAATTCTTTTAAATTAAATTGAAAAAATATATATTGTTATATTCGGTTCGTTCTTTATTTTTGTAAGTAATGAACAAGCACTTAAAACTATCACAAAACTAATATTAATAAACAAGAACTTATTACAGCTAGACTAAAAATCAAATGAACCGACGCCAAGCGGTGTAGCTTGCCTATATTACTTTGGTCTTTCGTCAGTCAACTGTTTCGAACGAGCAACAATGGGAACTAGCAAACACTTGCAAATAAAATAAAAGAAGGAGTCTTTAGAAGCTTCGCTTCTAAAGAAGAACAATTCGAGTTCGTCGCCAGTCTTTTGTTTATAAAAATTTGAAAATGTGAATATTGAGTACGGGATCATAACACCTCCCCCCTTAAGACGGAAAACAATTATTTTGAAAAAAGAATTTGTTTTCTCCTCTTGTTCGGATTTGACAGTTTCCTATGTCGGGTTCTGAATGGTTCCGTCCAGGTTGAGACTCCTTGAGTAGTAGTAGGTGCTATGTCTTCTGTATGGTAGACTGTTGTATCTCTTCACATTGGCTTCTTATCAGGAACATCATTTTAAGCTTTATAGCTGCAAGTAGTAGAACCTTTCCTAGGCAATACTCGTTAGTGAACAATGTTTCATAAAGAGTAAAGATAAAAGAATAAAATCAAGAGACATGAAATTCGAAACAAAATTGACATAAGTTCTGAAAAATACAAGAATTTTATATAGGGTACATAGAAAAGAATAAATGGATTAATAATAAAATAAATGATGATTAGCTATATGGGAAAATAAAAGGATTAAATTATTATTATTTTGGATTTCTCTCTTTAGATCAACTACTCAGAACACGGTTTTGTGATAAGTAACTTCCTTGTTACGGGTTTTTAATAAAACGTTTTTGCCAGATTTTTTTCTTGACCTCGTATGGACCCTTAAATTTAGGACTAAGTTTTTTATTTAGATTTCCTCTTGCTAATTTTTGACTGATTTGAATCTTCTCTTTTTCATTAGACGATAGGTGAACTTTACTTAGTAAAAATAGCTTTACCTCAGGAATATTCTCTTCGTGAAAATCGGTTGACATAAGAATGGATGCTTTCTTCCTAGATTTCTTGGTACTGGAATTCCATTTCCGCTTTTTAGTATGCTTCCCAAAATTATACTTGTGAATTTTTTTAGTAGCTCCTATATTTTTAGTTATAAATGAAATTTTTGTTTTCTTTTGAATTTTAGCCTTAGGATTATTTTTAAGGTTTGAATTCTGTATGGATGATCTTTCTTTTCCTTTTGTTTTCACTTCTTTTACTTTTAGACCTTTTTTCTTATTTTTATTTTTAGGAAGTAATGGTGCTTCTTTAGCCTTTTGCTTAGATAAATTTGTAGAGGGTGCTTCTTTAGCCTTTTTCTTAGATAAATTTGTAGAGGGTGCTTCTTTAGCCTTTCTCTTAGATAAATTTGTAGAGGGTGCTTCTTTAGCCTTTCTCTTAGATAAATTTGTAGAGGGTGCTTCTTTAGCCTTTTTCTTAGATAAATTTGTAGAGGGTGCTTCTTTAGCCTTTTTCTTAGATAAATTTGTAGAGGGTGCTTTTTCCTCTTGAGCAGGAATTGATCCTGGTAAAGAATCTGTTTTCTCTTCAACTTCAAGTTTGGATTCTGGTAAAGGATCTGTTTTCTCTTCAACTTCAAGTTTGGATTCTGGTAAAGGATCTGTTTTCTCTTTAACTTCAAGTTTGGATTCTGGTAAAGGATCTGTTTTCTCTTCAACTTCAAGTTTGGATTCTGGTAAAGGATCTGTTTTCTCTTCAACTTCAAGTTTGGATTCTGGTAAAGGATCTGTTTTCTCTTTAACTTCAAGTTTGGATTCTGGTAAAGGATCTGTTTTCTCTTTAACTTCAAGTTTGGATTTTGGTAAAGGATCTGTTTTCTCTTCAACTTCAAGTTTGGATTCTGGTAAAGGATCTGTTTTCTCTTTAACTTCAAGTTTGGATTCTGGTAAAGGATCTGTTTTCTCTTTAACTTCAAGTTTGGATTCTGTAACTTCTAAAATTTTAAGTTTTTCCCACAATTTTATTGTGTTATCTTCATAGTGGATACATGTTGATTTTTGTCTGCGATTAATCAATTCTTTTATCAGTTGACTATGGGGTTTCTTGTCTTGGTATAATTCTATTAATTTCGTTTTTACGTCATCCCAATTATCAAAATCGTACAAAGAAATTCGAATCTTGGCATTACCAGTGATTCTGGAGTAGATGAATCTGAAGAGTGGATACTTATTCTCTTCAGAGGACAATTCGATAGCATTATCACAATCAGAGATAAATGCATTAAGTTGGTTCCTTTCTCCGGAAAAGAAATTAGGAACTAGACTACACAAGAAATCAAGGGGTATTTGGGATGGGTTGAAAACAGGTTGATCAAGTTTAGGCATTGTTCACAAAATGAGTTACCTATTACTACTACTTACAATATAAAGAAATTCTGATAAAGAGTTAAAACCCACCAACATGAAACGAATTACTTAAGAATTCTCCGGTTTCTTGTCGTTCAGAATGATCCTTCATCGACTGCGCCAAAATTTTAATATGTTATATTCGGTTCGTTCTTTATTTTTGTAAGTAATGAACAAGCACTTAAAACTATCACAAAACTAATATTAATAAACAAGAACTTATTACAGCTAGACTAAAAATCAAATGAACCGACGCCAAGCGGTGTAGCTTGCCTATATTACTTTGGTCTTTCGTCAGTCAACTGTTTCGAACGAGCAACAATGGGAACTAGCAAACACTTGCAAATAAAATAAAAGAAGGAGTCTTTAGAAGCTTCGCTTCTAAAGAAGAACAATTCGAGTTCGTCGCCAGTCTTTTGTTTATAAAAATTTGAAAATGTGAATATTGAGTACGGGATCATAACAATATATTACCTCATAATTACAATAATCGATGTCGACATTTTCTTCTAGTGAAATTATTGCTGATCTACATTCATTTAATTGAGTACATTCTCCAACCGAACCATCTCTTGAAATACAAGGTGTGGCATCTTGAAAAAAAAAATAAAAAATTTTTACAAAAAAAATTTTGGACTTTTATTGTTATTAACAATTTAAATTGTTAATAACAACATAAACAATGTGTACAACATCTTGATTGCCTTGAAAAGAATTTTTTTTTGTAATTCTTTTGGTGTGGCACAAAAGTAGTTTTTACTACTAGAAAACAACAAAAAGATTTTTACAATTTTATTTATAATTTTAATAAATACACCCCCCCTTACCGTTACCCCTCCCCCATTTTGGTTAAAATTATCTGACAAGGAAGGAAGTCAAATAAAAAAATTTTAGTGATATGATGGGTGGTTTGAAAATTAGCACAAATTTTTTAGGACATGAAAATTTTAAAAAAAGCTCAGTGAATGTTAAATTATTTCAATTATTGATATTATTATCACATAAAATAACAAATACCTAAAAATTTTTCAGGAAGCTTGAATGAAGCTGTTGGTACATATACCTGAAGTAAACAAATAATGTATTATATACATGACATGTTCTCATTATTTTTGGCGGTAAATTTAACAAATTATTTTGAATTTTTTTTTTTTTTGTTTTGTTCAGAAAATTTAAACAAAAAGTTGTCTTATTTCCATGGAAAATAACACAAAGTTTATTTTTCATTATAAACTCAGAATTGTAAAAACCTGTTCATAAAATAATAATTTTAAAATAAAAAATCCCAAATATGGAATTAAGAGAATTAAAAAAAAAAAAAAAAAATTTCTATGAAAAAATCAACAAAAAAAAAATAAACCTGAATAAATTTTCTTTTTTTTTGGTTAATTAAATGACTCAAAAAAAATTCCTTAAAAAAATTTATAAATAAATATACCTGATTAAATTGGGAAAATAAGTAAAATCAGGGTTCTGAAACCTTAATTTTTAATTTACATAGGGTATTATTATTATTATTATTATAAAGAAAAAAATAAAAACATTCAAAAATTAAATATGATTAATAATATATTATAATAGAATAAGGTATTAATTAATTTGGGGGGGGGGAGGGGAAAAAAAATTAAAAGAAAAAAATTAAAATAATTTTTGAGTCATTAAAAAATTTGTTTGCTTTGTTAAAAGAATTTTTATTGTATTAAATTTTTATTTTACCGAAAAAAATTCGAATCAAGTAATTATTTATAAATTATTATGAAAATTAAAAATTAACTTATTTATTTAAAGGTCGCTTTCACTTTTATTTTTAAAAAAAATTTAAAAAAAAAAAAAAAAAAATTAATTTTTATGTACCGCCATTAAAAATTTTGAATTCATATCTTTTATGTTAATTCATTGAAAAAAGTTTCCACGTCTAATTTTATTATTATTATTATTAAAAACATTTTTAAAAAAAAATAACGATCACGATTAATATAATTTCGTTTTAATAATAATTTTGTTTAAAAATGTTTTACCTGCATTAGATAAATTAATCGTCCCAATCAAATATATTAATAATGACACTAAAGAATTTTTATTAAGTAAAATTCCACTTTTTAAAAATTTAATAATTATTATCATTTTAATTAATTGCGGTTTTTACTCGAACACGAAATTTTATATTAGAAAAATTAATAAAATAAACACACACACGCACACACAACAAAAAATATATAATAAAACACAAATTAAAGTCTAAAAACGAATAATAATTTAAAGAAGTTGCGTGTGTCCATTGGTCAAATTATTATTTTAAATTAAATTTATGTGAAAAAAAAAAACCAGTTTTAGAAACTTGTTTGTTTCAAATGATAAACTTCGCGAAATGTTTCAAAACTTACGTAGAAACTTTACACGGTCGAAGATGTTCTACAAGTAATGTTCCTTTTTATCAAATCCGTTTATATATATATAAATAGAAGAATTAATTGTATGATCGTGTTCTACGTATTCGAGTTTCAAAGAATTCCAACAATGAGATTGGGATATCCCGGTTATATATACCTTGTCACAAAGGAATTTAATTCATTTAATATATAATTATTCCAAAAAATTTTAATTAAAAAATATTATTAACATAAAAAAATATTTTTAACGGTTTTTTTTCAACCGTTCACTTAGCCAATAGAATCTTAAAAACATCATGGATGTATAATGTTTGTTCACCATTTTTCAAAAACAAAAGAATATATTTAATATTGTGGAAATAAAAACGCGTTTTTTAATACAAAAATTTTTTATAATTAAGCAATTATTATAAACTGACCATCCATTTTGTCTTTATGAAAATAAACAATTATGGGAATCTCATATTATAATATTTATGTGACACATGTTTTGTGGTTATAATTCTATGAAAGTATTATAAATAATATTAAATAGAAAGTTTTTAAAGGATTATTTCAAAAATTTTTCTACTTACAATCCTCATTTTGTTTTATAATCTGAGATTTTATATATTATTTAATATAAATCGATTTTCCACCAGTAAAAAAATAATTTTTTTAACGCCTTTTGTTTTATTCACAAGAATAACACAATCTTCACAAATATAAATATATTAATTTTTCATAAAGTCACACTTTTAAATGTTTTTATATTTAAACGAAATACTCGTTTACAAAAAAAAAAAAAAAATTATTTTAAAAAAATTTACAATGGCGGGAAGTTAAGAAACCGGATGTGACTGTCATTTTGACATAAAAACAGATAAGCAGATGTTCTTAACAAGCGTGGAGTAGGATTTAGATATTTGTTAGCACATGTTTTATTTTTGCCTTCATATCGTAGTAAATTGAAAATTAATTTTGGATACCGGTGAGTTCCTGCAAAACTTCCAACAATTTCATAAACCTATAATTTTTTATCCTTTTGTTAACAACTATCAATATATATAAATATATATTGTTTTAACAATTAAAATTTAAAATGGCTTTCTTTTTTTTTTTATTGCTTTGCCGGTTTATTTTAATTTTAATTTTAATTTATGTAATTTTATGTACCTATAAAAAAAAAAAAAAAAACTTAATTTTATTATATATCTTTCTCATTAATTAAATTTTACCTTTTTTTTTATTACCAATATTTAAATTTTTGATTTGATTTTGTTGTTTTTTTAATGATGCAAAATGATAGAATAGAATTCGCCATCATGTCATTTTTATACTGGAACTAATTTTATGATTAAATTTAAAAAAAAAATTATTATTAATTTCTTTTTAAGTTAAATCTTGACAAAAGCAATAGATTTTATTTTTTCAAATAATTTATTTTTCAATTTCATTTGTCATCTCATACTAATAACAAGTAATAAAATTTAAATGGAATTTTTTCTTAATTACAAGTTTTTAATGTTATTACATCAGAATCCTAATAATTTTTTTATTTATGATAATCATTAGTAAAAGCAATTGTTTGGAATGCTAATGTATTAAAATCTAATATTTTTTTAAAAGAATAATGATGTCATTAGTAATTATCTTTTATTTATGCCACAACATATATTTATATTATATTATCATAAATTTATTATCGAAAAATGATATTGTCTTCTGTAACGGTTACTAATTTTAACATAAAGTCGTTTATTTTTTTTTTGGATTATTCGAATCTTAAATTATTAATAATAAATAATTTTTAAATTTGAATTATATATTATTACAAGCACTTAAATAGCTTATAGTTAATCTTTTCAATTAATTTTAGTTAAACAAAGCAATAATAACAAAAATAATTTTATTTTCCAGTATATTTATTTATCGGAAAATGGCCAGTTGGTATTCATGTAGAACGAATGAAAGTCTCGAAAGAGAAGAATCAGACATATTAAATCCTGAAGAATTTCAACATGTTCTAGAAGTAACTAATACAGCTGATTGCAGGAATTTTATGTAAAGTCCATTTATGAAAAAATAAATACATATTACAACAAAAAAATTTTTAAGTAATAAATCCACAATTTTTTTTTTTGTTTTGTTTCAGAGACTGCGTTTTAAACGATGAACTATCATATCAGGTTAGAAAATTTATATTTAATTTTAATCGAGAAAAAAAAAAAAAACACTTAAACATTTTTTAAAAATGTACTAAATCAATTTAACTAACATGAAAAATTAAGAAAAAGAATCACCATTCATAATCTTTTCTTAATTGTATTTGATTAATAATAATAATAATAATAATCTCATATTCTTTAAATGCACCATAAAAAAAAAAAAGAAAAATTTTTTTAATTGTGGCTATAGTAAATTTAAAATGATATTTTTTTTTTTATTCATACTACCTACATTTAAACACTTTTTAAAAAGTTTTGAAATGTAAAAATTAAATACTATTCATAATGAATTGAAAACAAACTATTTCATTAATAATAAAAAAAAAAAAAAAAAAACATAATTTTGAACAAGATGAAATTTGCATTTTGTAGGACCAAGTTTTGGCAAGTAATTAAACCATTTCTAGCAAGTGTCACAAGCTTTGTCAACCGTTACACAAAATCTATTATTGACGTGACAAAATTATTATTTAGTTTATTGTGTTTATATTTTTATGTATTGACCCCCCCAAAAAAAAAAAAAAAAAAAAAATCTCTTTTTGATAAATAATTTAAAAAAAAAAATTTTTTTTTTTTTTATAATGGTGAGTTTAAGGAAAATGGCGATTGATTTGTTTTTAATGGAAAAAATTATTCATAAAGAAAATAATGGGACTTATTTTTAATTGTGTGTGTGTTAATTGTTAATCTACCTTACAATTATACAAAATCATTTAAAAGAATTTTTTATACTGTAAGAACAGAAGAAATTTTAAAAAAAACTTTTTTTTTTTCTTATCAGTATGAACCGCCAGTTTTAAACGAGACCAAAATATATTGTCAACCTAGTTTGCCATCAGCAGATTCAACTTTTGTCAACAATACAAATTCTACTTCAACAGGACCACTTCCAGCTCGAGAAGATTATCCAGGACCATTTGCCTTTTCAGTATTATTAGACGGTGTGGAATCAACAAAAAATAAATGGACGGTAAATAGTCATGTTTATTTTCTCACTTTTTTTTTGCATTCGTTTATTCAAAAAAAAACGTTTTTTTTTTAGTATTCCACAATGCTCAACAAACTTTACATAGTTTGGGATAAAATCATACCAATTCAATTTAAATGGATTCCATCTGAACCGAATTTTGTTGTGAGAGCTTTGCCCGTATATACGGATGCTCAAGATATGAAATTAGCCGTTAAAAGATGTTTGATACATTTAAATGCCAGCGATCCTACGAACGAGGGTAACCTTTTTTTTTTTTTTTTTTGGATTTAACGGTTATTTTGAATCACTTTTCCCATTTTTAATTGATTAGGGTTCGAACATGTCAAACACGTCATACGATCCGATAATCCTGGCGTCTACTACGAAGAAAATCAGGAATCCGAAAGATGCAGCGTTGTCGTTCCATTGGGAGAACTTCAACCTGGAACAGGAACCGTAACGGTCACTTATAAATTTATGTGTAAGACGACATGCGTTACGGGAATGATGAGGAGGCCCATCACTGTATTGTTTACTTTAGAAAGACCGAAGTAATTTTTTTTTTTGCCAAATTCCCGTCACTTTCGCACAAAATGTTCGAAAATATTCATTATCATTAATTTGTTTCAGTGGGGAAGTAGTCGGGAGGCAAAAATTAAACGTAAAAATATGTTCTTGTCCGAAAAGGGATATGCAAAAAGATGAAAGTTCTGCGAATGAAAAACAAGAGGAAGGTCGTAAACGTCCTTTGGCATTGGCATCAACGTCGAAAAGGATGAAAACCGAAGACGAGGAAGAGGAATTTCATCTCGACGTAATGAAATCCGAGTTTGAAATCATTTTTAACATCGTTATTATCAATTAACATTACCCGATTTGTTTTTTAGATGGTGATTGAAAACAAAGACACGTACAAATGCATATTGGAAAGCATGCATGCCGCCATATTGCGAATCATGAGAATGACGCAAAAAACTCATTCGAGTTATTCCGAACTTACAAAATTACTCAGGGATGTCGAAACAAGACTGTTAGTACAAAAAATATTTTTAAAAAATTAATCCAATAATCATTTTAATAAAAACAATCGATTAACAATTCTGTTTTTTTTTTTTTTTTTTTCCAGTAGTCGTCTCATCGATTCATAATTCGAAAAGGAAAATATTTTAATAATAATAATATTGATGATGATGATGATGATAAAATACGAATGGAAAAATTCGTTATTTTAATTGATTGATCTCTTTCTTGTTTTATATATATATATAGGATATATAAATTTTATTTATCCATTTTGAAACTGAAGAGTATTTTATATATTTTACTTTCCTCATAAAAGTTGTGTCAAATCAATTTTTTTTTTTTAATAATATGGTAATTTTAATTATTTTATTTATTTTTATTTATTTCATATCATATCGAAATGTAATTTAAATTATATTTATTATTATTATTATTAATTTTCAGGTTTCTAATTATAAGATGATAATAATAATAATCGTTTTATTTTTACTGAAAAAAAAAAATTTTTTGGTAAGAAGTTAAATAGATAAAATCAACAACATGGATAACAATTCTTCATAAAATCATAAAAAAATTTTTATATCAAATCCTGAAGAAGAAGATTTTTTTTTCTTTTTATAATCATAAAAAATTAAATTAAATTTAATTTAATAAATACAATCACAATCAATAATTATTTATTAATATCAGAAAATATTTATTAAATAAATATTTGAAATTTATTATTAAAACCAGTGCCTTATAATAAGAGAATTTTATTATTAAAATGAAATGAAATGAAATTTTAAATTTAACAAAATTTCCCGTTTTAATCATTAAAATAATAATAATAATATATTTTATTAGTTTTTTATTATTATTAATCATATTGAGTTTGATCTCAATAATAAAGAAAAGAAAGAAAAGAAGATGATTATTTAATTTTATGTTTATTATAAAAAAAGAAAAAAGGAAAAAGTTAATTTTGTTTAAATCTCTTTTCTTTTAAAAGTACAATATGAAATTTTTTTTTTTAAAAAAAAAAAAGTTTCAAGTAATTGTTAAGTTTTTTTGTTATAATTTTTTTAATAATTAATATACATAGATTTTTAGTAAAAAAAAAAATTATTTTAATTATTTTAATAGCCTAAAAAATTTTTATAAAGATGAAGAAGTGATTTAAATTAACTAGGAAATATATATATATATATATAAACCTTGAATATTTTTCGATATTGAACTCGTTTTCCTTTCACTTCCTTAAATTAAATATAAAAAAAATGATGTTTAATATATTAATCGTTTGATTTTTATGTTAAAATGATATTAATGTCATAATAATAATAATAATAAAATTCATCCCTAAATAAAATAAATTTCACCCTCTTCAAAAAAAAAACCAAAAATTTTTCAATTGATTTATTTAAAAAAAAATGAGGTGAAGGTTAATTAAACCTTGATAATTTTAATATTTAAAAAAAAATATCAATTAAAATTATTTTTTAACAATTTATTATTACCACAGTAATAAATAAATAAATAAATAATTACTGTAAGTTTTTAATTGAATGATAATAAAAATAAAAAATGTTTGAATAAATTTTTGAAAGTTTCTTTTTGTTAACAATGTAGAATAAAAACGGTTTATTGAAAATTCAAAATAACTTTCACTTATGAAAAAATAAAAGAAAATTTTTTTCTATTTGGTTTTAAAATTATTATTATTATTTAAAAAGAAAAAGAATGGATGGAAAATGTCAACAACAGCCTGATGAAAATGAAAATTTTTACATTAAAATGATTTTGTTTATTTTTAACGGTAATAAAATAAAAGTGACAGTTAAAAATCATTGAAAACGAGTTTATGGTTTAGTACCATTTACTTCTCAGGTACTCACGGCTCTACCTTAATCTTTACGATGCAATATCACACACACTCATATGTAATGAACTCGTATGCGGAAGTAAAAAAAAAAAAAAAAAAAGAAAAAAAGAGAAAAAAAACTTTAACTTTGGGCGATTTTTAAATAAATTTAATTTGTGTTAAAAGTTTTTATCTATTTTTTTTTAATAAATAAAAATGGTGCAACCTGTACAAATAGAAAGTGATAATAATTCGGGAAATCAACAAATAAGACTTTGCGAAATAACAAGAACGTCGGGATCATGCGGATTTAATTTAACTAAAAGTAAATGGGATCCTTATCCTTGGGTTAGTAACGTAGATTGTGGATCTCCAGCAGAAAATGCTGGAGTACAAACTGGAGATTGTTTGTTAGAAGTTAACGGTGAAGATGTTTTGGGATTAAGGGTTGTCGAAGTCGCCAGCAAAGTTAAAGCAAGGGATGAAAAAGTTACCGTTATGCTTTGGAATTCTGGAGTGGATTCAAATTGTTCATCCGAGGTGAGTTTAAAATCGTGACATTAATTAATAAATTTATTAATGATCCTCCATTTAAAAAAAAAAAAATTATTTGATCCCTTGTAATAAACCATTTTTTAAACAAATTTCAAAATATACTAATAAAAAGTGAAAACTCCACAAGACTTTTTCTTTTGAAAATCTATTATTATTATTATTACCGATTCAAAACATTTTGATAAAATTCGTTTATTAATTAAAAAAATTATTACATAAATAAATTACATAAGTTTAAAATACTACAACATTTTTGAATACCTAATGATAAATAAAAATACCAGTTTGTCTGAATGAAACGACATTTAAAACAATTCAAAAACTAAACGTTAATTTATTATAAAACGACCAAATTTAATAACTTTCACGATTTATTATTATTAATAATTAAAAAATATTATTTTCCTTAATGATAATTATAAAACGATAAAATTGTCATTTACATTAACAAACAAATCAACAAAACAAATAAAAAATAATAATAATATAATAATAATAAATCAATTAAAATAAAAAGTCTCATATCACTAAATTAATATTTTTCTCTCCATTTTTTGTCCTTGATATTATTCCCTTTTCGATCCGATATAATAATAATAATAATAATACTGAGTGTTTTCTAAATATCAATAAATCAAATCACCTAAAAAAAAAATAAAAAATAAAAATTTTTTTAGAATTTAAATATAATTTTTATTGGATTTACAGACATTATGCTGTGGACCAATGCCCACGAATTTACAAAGATTATCATCATGCATGAGTAATATTGTGGCAGCTCTGGAGTGTCCGATATGCCTGGAAACGATTCCGGCTCCAGCACATCAATGCGTTAACGGTCATTTAATTTGTTTCAAATGTCGTATAAAAACAGAAAAATGTCCCGTTTGCCGTATAAAATTATCCAGAGGAAGAAGTCTTCTTGCAGATCAAGTTTATAATTCATTAATAGATGCATTCGATTTAAGAAATCAAGAAGAATCGAAAAGGAGGAAAATATTAAAGCAAAAATTATTCGGACATAAAAATGGTTCAACTAAAAATAAAATTCCAGATGTTAAATTTAGCATTATTAATTCTCCAGCGAGTAAATTTTTAAATAAAATAATGAAAACGGGAAAATGTTCGTCGGCTGAAAATTTGAGCATAACGAGTTCAACGGAAAAAATTTCAAAACTTTTATTAACTCCTCAAGATGATTTACATTTGGGTCTTAAATCAAAATCCCTTTCCACCAATGAAATATTTGAAATAGATACTCAACATTTCACCAGGACACCATCCATTTTATCAAGTAGACCTGGAAGCGGTCTTTTAGATGTTCAATCTTTAACATATTCAAAAAAATCTGCTTCTTGTCACGGATCTGCTCATGATTTTCACAAAAAATTAATGGCGGAAATAAAAAATAAAGAATTATTAAGAGAAAAAGAAAATTGTTGTTGTCCTTGCGACCCTACATGCGAAAATGAAATGACGCCCAGTACCTTGATGAAACACATACAAGAATATCATGAGGGTCCAGTTTTACACTTTTTAAAACCTCATGTCGAATTATTATTACCTTTACCTTATCCAAATACGACCGTACTAACCGTTACTTCTTATAATACAGTATTTATTATTAAAATTTTAGATTATTCCTGTAAAAGTGATAATAATTACTTATGGATATGGAGTTTGAATTCTGATAAAAACTTCATGGCTAATGTGACAATTCAAGAAGAAAAACTAATTATCACATCAGAATGTTCTGTCATACCGATTCAGTCTGTTGGTTGGCAAAAAATTGTTAATGAAAATTTGGGATTTTTAATTAATTCTCAAGAAAATGGAATGAAATTACAAATTGAAATACTACCACATAATTATTAATAAGGGTTACTTGACAAAATCAAAAATAAACCTTAAAGCATGATAATTACATGCTTTAACTAAAACATGGCTTCACATATTGAAATTTCAAAATTAAATTCCTATTATGTCATTAATTTTCCCTCGATTTCACTTACTGTGTTTGTAACTTATTTATTCTTCAATTTTTATAGTTTATTCCAGTCAATGGGCTCTTTTCCTTCTTTTTTCAACAGTTCATTACATTTAGAAAAATGTTTACATCCGAAAAAACCTTTGTTGACTGAAAGTGGAGAAGGATGAACAGCTTTCAAAAGATGATGTTTTTTCTACAATAATTAATTAATTGATTAGTTAGTCATGTTAACAGTTTTATGTTATAAAAGTTATCAATAAAATTATTTTTTTTAAATTAAATTTTGTTCGTTACCTGATCAACACATGCAGCCTTTTTTTGTGCATATGAGCCCCATAAGAGAAAAACAATTCCTTTTTTTTTATCGCTAATGTATTTAATAACTGCATTAGTTATATTTTCCCAACCGTGATCCGCATGAGAATTGGGAGTGTGAGCTCTAACAGTCAAACTAGAATTAAGCAACAAAACTCCTTGTTTAGCCCAACCTGTCAAATCTCCATGTGCAGGGATTTGAAAACCTTCTATATCATTTTTTAATTCTTTATAAATATTGACTAGGCTAGGAGGAGGTTGAATACCTCTTGGCACACTAAAGCAAAGACCATGAGCTTGAAAAGGATTATGATATGGATCTTGACCAAGTATTACTACTTTAACTTCAGATACTGTACACATTTTAGTCCATGTCCACACATTATCGGCCGTTGGATAAACTTTAAATTTTGATCTTTCCGTATAAACAAATTGATTAAGTTGTTTAAAATAAGGTTTTGAAAATTCGTTTTCTAGTGCAAAAAACCATGTTGGCCCCATTTCACAATCCAAAATGCTAAAATTTTTGCTTAAAACTAATAATTTTTCTCTAGCTTTTTCTTTAAGAGTCGAATTTATATTTTCGTCTTGAATATCATTTAATTTTATTTTCTTATTAACTGATTCTTCAATTCCAGGTGAACTTCTTTTAACGGCAACGGGTTTAAAAAAATTTAAAATATTTTTTTGCTTGCTCATATTTGCATCGTTAGTCTAGACGTTTAGTAAAACTAAAAACACAATTTTATTAATTTAATTAAAATATCATGACGTTTGTTTGTTTTAGAAAAACTAACTAAAACTATTAAAATATTTAAATCATATTATGGAACAATCTAAATAATATTTAAGTGAAAAATAAAAATTTTGACTTACAAAGAACGTAACTAAAATATCTAAAATTGGCGGGAAAATTAGAACGTGGAACTTTATGGCAAGCTTTTACGTAAACAGATTTCATTAATGTTTTGGTTTTTCATTTACTGATAAATTTGTCAATTTTATTTTTAAATTTTGTGGTTTTTTTTTTAAATTTTTAGTTACTGTAACTTTCAAATGGAATTAAATAAAAAATTTACACAATGTCAAATTTTTCTGTAATTTTTAAACGCTCATTGTATAAACAAAATTTATAAAACAATTATTATATATTAAATAAAAATTTGTTAAACTTCACAAATCCAATTAAAAAAGCATTCATGCATAACTTATTAACGAAAAAAACCTTATCACTTGATTTTCTTTAAAAAAAAATCTTTTTATTGAAAAATATTTTTGCAGAAAAAAATGACTCTTTTTTCCTTGTAAGAATTAATAACTATTCAAACATAAAAACATTCAACAAAAATTATTTTAAAATATTCAAAACAAATTAATTTTTAACAGGTGCCTAAATGAAATTGCCAAACCGAGTGTTATTAAATTACACAAAAACAACCTCAGTATAATTCCTATACCAATAAAAACAGCAATATTAACTATTTTATGTAAAAGAGGTTATATTGAAGATTTGCATACATTTAATTCATTAATAAATCCCAGTATAATTGAGTTAGATTTGAGCGAATGCGAAGTTACAAATGATTTATTGCAAAGTTTACACAAATGTGTTCATCTTCAAAAGCTGGATCTTGCATTAGCAAGAAAGCAAAAAAGATTTATAACCACAAAAAGTAATTTTGGAATTTAAAAATGTTTTTCACACACACACACACACACAAATTTTTCAAAATAATATTCGATTAATAATTTTTAAATATGTTTTAGTATTAAAATCCTTATTCAATCATTTATGTTCCCTTAAAATTCTGATTATACCTCATTGTCCAGAATTAAATGATGATGTGATTGAAAAAATTACTAAGAATTGTGCCAAACTCAAAGAACTTCATATTCCTCATTCATCAATCACAGATATCAGTCTTAAATGGATTGGAAATAATTTAAATAATTTATCTGTGTTAAACATCTTGGGAACTCAGGTGACTTTGTAAAAAGTTTTAAAAAACAAAAAAAATACCACAACAACTTTTACAAAACATTATTTTTTTTTTTTTTTTAGATTTCCGATTTGGGAATTGTTTACATAGCCGATGGAGCTTTGTCTAAGACCTTAGTTGAAATTAACATTGATAAATGCCCGAATGTGACACTTCAATCTAGTCTTGTCATAGCGGAAAAACTTCCAAATATAAAAATTTTTAATTGTGGTTTTTTAGGAGATGATGGTAAATTAGATTCTGTTTTAAATAAAATGATGGCTCAAGGAAAGCAAATTTTTTGGACTTTATAGAATTTCATTGGTAATTCAAATACCTTGATAACAATTATAAAGCCATCTTAAACAAAAATTTATAATAAATTTTTTCTTTTTTTTTTTCCCCCCTTCAATAACATAAGTTTTTATTAAGCTAACCTATAGGTTGTGTTTCTTTCGTTAGCCAATGCAAAGCCTCTTTTTCACCCATCTCGTTAAGCAAAGGTCCAACTTTTTCCCTGCACTCTAAATGATAAGCATTCAAATATGATATCTAAAAAAAAAAAAAAATAAAAATTATATTATAATAAAAACATTGGTTCTTTTCATTTTCAATAAGGTAGAGTTCCAACGTTAGAAATAAACTTTAAATATCCATTTATATACTCACTTCTTTTTCTGTGAGCATATCGGGAATTATCATTTTTTTCTGAATGGGTACCATTGTCACAGTTTCAAAAGTTAAAAACCCTCTATTTTTAAAATTATTTGGAGGATTCGCTCGAATAACTCTAACAATATTTTCTAATCTTATGCCAAATTCATTATCTTGATAGTAACCGGGTTCTGAAATTATCAAGCATTGAACATTTTCAAAAAAAAGTCTTTTTTTTATAAAATTTAAAAAAGAAATTTACTTACCGTTAGACAAAAACATTCCTTCTTCTAATCCTGGATCATCCGGATAAGGTCTCCATGATATACCCATTGGTCCTTCGTGTACATTTAAATACATTCCAATACCGTGTCCCGTCCCGTGCATGTAATCAAGTCCAACATCCCATAAGTACTTTCTTGCCAGAGTATCTAAATGATTCCCCTTGATTTTGGTAGGAAAAATTGAAGTTGCTAAATAAATTTGACCTTTTAAAACTCTTGTAAAACATTCTTTTTCAAAATCTTTCGGAGTTCCAAAATGTAATGTCCTAGTAACATCTGTGGTACCATCTCTAAAAAAAATAAAATCAATTTTTTATTTATTATTAAAAAGTAAAAATTTCAAATTAAAAAAAGAAAAAAAAAAAAAAAAAAAAAAAACTTACTTGAATTGAGCTCCGGAGTCACATAAATATATTTGATTAGTTGTAATGTTTAAATCAGTTCCTTTTTCTGGACGATAATGTGTGATAGCTGCATTGGGACCCACAGAAGATATAGTCGGAAAGCTCAGTCCAACATAATCATCAAGTTTTCTAAAAAAAAAAAAAAAAAATTATTACTATTGGTAATTTTATTATCGATATAAAATAAATTTGTCTATTATTGATTCTTACTTCCTGAATTCTTCTAGCTTGTCTGCTCCACTCACTTCTGTTATAACTTCTTTACCCACATTATTTTCTAACCAAGCAAAATAACAGCATAAAGCAGCACCATCTCTAATGTGACAATTGATTAATCCTAAAAAAAAAAAATTTAATTTAATTATAAAAAAATTTTTTTTTTTTTTTTTTTTTATTCTAGTCAATACTACCTTGAATTTCAGTATTATTTTTTATAGCTTTTAAAGGAGCTACAGGACATATTTGTGTGAATCTTCTTTTTTCAGGTATTAACGACACCAAATCATAATTTGAGTTATGACTAATCCAAATTCTTCCTTGTTCTTTTTCAATGAACTGAATTAAAACATCTTGAATTTTTTCATAAGGTTGAATATTAATATCGACATCTTCTGTTTTAAATTGTTTCATCACTGAAGAGGTTATTTTCGAATTATCAATGAACAAATATGTTGTATTCATTGTTACAATAGCATACGAAAAGAAAACGGGATTATATTCAATGTCTGAGCCTCTTAAATTTAACAACCCTAAAAGAATTTTACAAATGTTATTTTAAAATTTCATATTATTATTAGTAAATTAAAATAAATAGTTTAATAATATTTTACATGCTATTTCATCCAGTGCAGTAATAACTAGAATTTTAGCTTTTTTCTCTTTCATTATAGCTCTTACTTCATTTATTTTCGTTTTGGAAGTTTTTCCTAAAAAAATTAAAAAAAATTATTTATAATAAGTTTTAAATTGCAGTGACTGATAGTTTTATGTTATTCCATATTAAATTTGTAAGTTATCTTACCGCTGTACTTAAAAGGCAGGGGTTCAATAATTGAATTGGGGGGTTCAGGTTTGTTTTCCCAAATGACATCGATAAGATTCGTACTAACAGGCACAAGGTTAAGTCCTGAAGATTCCAATTCTGTTTGTAGTATAATCCATTTATCATATTGCATGTATTTAGGATCAACTCCAACTCTGCTGCCTTCTGGTAAATTTTGAACCAACCAAATTTCTTGACTAGGAGTAGATGGAGTACCTAAAACAGATCTATTAATTAGGTTTATGTTTATCTTTAATGTTTTAAAACACTTAACATAGTTAATTTTTGATTACCTTCTTTCATTAATGTCCAATATTCACTATCTAATTCTTTGCTGGCTTGAATAAAATAACGTCCATCCGTCCATAAACAAGCATGTTTATCTGTTATAATGGCAGTGCCGTATGAGCCAGTAAAGCCAGAAATAAATGATCTTCTTTTATCACATTCTGCCAAATATTCACTCTGTAACAAGAAAAATTAATGTAAATAACAATACAAATTTTAAAACATAAATGAAATAGTTTTAATTAATAATTACACACTGAATGGGAGTCAGTTTCTGGAACTATGTAAGCATTTAGTGGTTCATTTACATAAGTAAGATTTTTCATTAAAGCTCTCAGTTTCTTAAGCGCAGCAGCAGATTTCATTTTTGAGTCTGAAAACAAAATTAATAATTATACAACTACTTAATACTTGAATAAAATATTTAACCAATCAAGTTACACTTGCTACCTAAAGATATACCAATTTCCTCAATAATTTAATTTTAATAAAGATTTAGTACCTTACGTGTAATGCAATCAACAGCAAATATTACTTTAAATTGATAAACTTATCAGCGTAGAGTTATCTATCTATCTATGATATTATAAAACCGATTTCATTTAAAATATATTTGTTTAAGTACTTCATTGGATTAAAAAAAAAAAAAAAAAGAACCATGCCAAATCAAATTTATTTAAAATTATTAAAAAATGTAAATAAAAGCAACAAAGAATAAATTATTAGATAATCAATATTTTTTTTAGAAAAATACATAATTTAAATGAGTACTTACAATACTTATTAAAACTTAATAAAAGTTAAAAGTTTTAGTTTTACAGGTATATAAATAAGTGGTGAATATAAGCAACGGCTTAATTTAGTAACACATAGCAAATTTGAACTTGAGGTTAAACAATAGCATCGTTCGATTACGCCTGCAATTCAAACTTAATTTCAGCAAATTCCGCTATTGAATAATTTACAGGCACTGTTTTATTTGAAGCAATTTCATTGTGATAAAATATTTAAAATTTTTTTTGCAAATCATATAATAAACTTCATGCCAATAATTAAAACTTAAAAAAAAATATGGTCTTTTTATGAAATACATTTTTTATAAAAACTCCATTTAAAATCATTCAAAAGTTGCTCATACCGTACCAGCCTTTAACCGAAAATATATCTATTTTTATAAAAATCCAAAATTTTAAATATAAATGTTAAAATTTTATGAAGTTTTTCTTAGAAGCATAAAATATTCTAAACTAAGTTTTATCATAATTTAAAATAAAGTAAAAAAAGGCTTTGTGTGGAAAATTAAAACGAAAAAGAAGTACGGAAGTGTAATACAAAATTAAAATTAATAAAATTTCAATTAATTTACAAATAATTATTTTTTCTAACTTTGAGTTTTATTTTTTTTTTTCGAATTGAATTGAAGTTTTAGGAAGTATTTAAATTAACGAGTGTATTTTACTTTAAAAAATGAAAATATTTGTTCGAAATATTTCTATTAATTTAAAATAACATTTGAAGTCTATTGTTTACCCGACCAATTACATTCGGCTTTATCACCAAATCAATCCGCAAATAAAAAAAGAACCAAATATTTTTTTAAAAATTTTAAAAATTTTCATATTTTTTATAAAATTATTGTCATAAGTAAAATTTTCGTAATTTATTTTACTTTTTAAACGGAAAATTACACTTTTTTAAAATGGATTTGTACATAATTAACTCATTTGATAATTAGGCGGATGAATAAATAATGAAAAACGTTAAAACTTTTTTGGTAATAAATTTTGATACGGATTTTGTTTCGTTAGGAATTAATTGAATTTTGATAAAATTTAAAATTTAAAATTTAAAATGCGAGAAATTGTTCATCTTCAGGCAGGTCAATGTGGTAATCAAATTGGAGCAAAGGTAATAATAATTAGATAGTTAAGTTTTACATCTTAAAAAAAAAAAAAAAAAAGTTTGAAAATGTTTTACCGTTGTTCCTAAATTGTTTGTGTTTCCAACATGGATGAAAATACTTATTTGTATAACAATGACATTTTATCCAGCATTTCAATTTGCATAAAATTCTTTGTTCCCATTCTTAAATTTTATCATTTCACATCTCTACGGCAATTTTTCACGTAATGTTTTCATAACTACAAAAATAACTTTTAAAAAAAATTATCTGAAAAAAATTTAAATTAATGATTGTAGTACACAAATTCTAAATGGATTATATATATATTTTAGTTTTGGGAGGTTATCTCGGATGAACATGGGATAGATCTATATGGCCGGTACGAAGGAGATTCCGAGCTGCAACTTGAAAGAAATAAGTGTTTATTACAATGAAGCAGCCGGTGGAAAATACGTACCCCAGAGCTATTCTTATTGACTTAGAGCCTGGTACAATGGATTCCGTACGTTCAGGCTTGTTCGGTCAAATTTTCAGGCCGGATAATTTTGTTTTTGGTCATAGTGGAGCAGGTAATAACTGGGCAAAAGGACATTACACCGAAGGAGCCGAATTAGTCGATTCGGTTATGGATGTCGTTAGAAAAGAAGCAGAGGGATGTGATTGTCTTCAAGGATTTCAACTAACTCATTCTCTCGGTGGTGGTACCGGATCGGGACTCGGTACTTTATTAATATCGAAAATAAGAGAAGAATACCCGGATAGAATCATGAACACTTTCAGTGTCGTCCCTTCACCAAAGGTACTTGATATTTGTACGATTAAAATAAAACGGATTTTTTTGTTAATGAAAGATAATTGTGATTATTAGGTGTCTGATACAGTGGTAGAACCATATAATGCAACACTTTCCATTCATCAATTAGTAGAGCACACCGATGAAACCTATTGTATCGATAATGAAGCGTTGTACGACATTTGTTACAGAACATTAAAAATTACTCCAACTTATGGAGATCTTAATCATCTTGTATCTTCCACCATGTCAGGTGTAACAACTTGTTTAAGGTAATTAAAAAATAAATCAATTATTTCTACCCTCTCTAAGTAGAACTTTACATGAAGTTAACAAAAATTATTCTTTTACAGGTTTCCAGGACAATTAAACGCTGATTTGCGTAAGCTCGCCGTAAATATGGTGCCATTTCCAAGGTTACACTTTTTTATGCCTGGTTTTGCACCATTAACTTCCAGAGGTTGTCAACAATATCGTGCACTAACTGTTCCCGAATTAACTCAGCAAATGTTTGACGCAAAGAACATGATGGCTGCTTGCGATCCCAGACACGGACGTTATTTAACCGTTGCTGCTATATTTAGAGGAAGAATGTCTATGAAAGTACGTGTTGACGATTGGTAACAAACTGAATTTTTAACAGAAAAATATTAATCGATATTAATTAATTATAGGAAGTCGACGAACAAATGCTTAATATTCAAAATAAAAATAGTAGCTATTTTGTGGAATGGATACCAAATAATGTTAAGACAGCTGTATGTGATATCCCTCCACGTGGATTGAAAATGTCTGCAACTTTTATTGGAAATTCTACCTCAATTCAAGAACTTTTCAAGAGGGTATCTGAACAATTTTCTGCCATGTTTAAAAGAAAAGCTTTTCTTCACTGGTGAGTCACACACGTACGATACAACAAAATAAATTATAAAAATGAATTAAAATCAATAATAATAAATTTTAAAATTTTTTTTAGGTATACCGGAGAAGGTATGGACGAAATGGAATTCAGTGAAGCGGAAGAAAATTTATCGGATTTGGTTTCAGAATATCAACAGTATCAAGAAGCAGCGGTAGATGATGATGAAGATTGTGAAGAGGGCGAGGGTGACGAAGAAGAAGTAAATGAAGATGATGAGGAAACTCCTGAAAACTAAGCTCTTTTGTGTATCAAGGAAAATCCGTAGTCGTATTTTGTTTTTTTTTTTTTAAATCTTTATTTTTTTTATTTTTTTGATTTTGTTTAAAGCATTTGTTTATTTTTATCTATATACATAATAAATAATTTTTACATAGACTAGATTTTTTTATTTAAATTTTAACCAGAAAAAATTATTAAAGGGTTGCATTAAGGGGATGAATATTTAAGAAGAATTTCTAAAAATTTTCTAATAAATTAGAAAATTGTTAGCCGTGATAAAAATGTTAAGAATAATGCCGAAGCAAAAAAAAGCAAAAAAAAATTAGATATTCAATATTTTTAATATTTGTTTTTTTTTTTTTTTTTGTATAATTTACTAATAATACATATTTAACGGGAGTTTAGTAATATAATTACGCCTAAAGTTTTATAATAGGAATTTTTTTTTCCAAATTTAATTTAAATTAAATTGAATGTTAGGATCGACGCTTTGAAATAATTGAGTATTGTCGGCGGCTATTATAATAAATTCTCTGGGTCCCATCATTTCTACAGTGTTATGATATTCATAATCGTTAGATTGTTTTTCTTCATTATCAACAGCAATTATTTGATAAACCGCCTTTTCGGACGTATCCAAATGTTTAAAATCATTAACTTCGACACTTGTATTGACTTCATCTTGCAGGGGAAAAATTTCGGTGACTGGTAACGGTGACTGAGGTCTGTACATCATGACTTCCTGACAATCTGGAAGGTTTTCATTTTTAACAGTTTCCAATTGCGAATCTCCGGTCGTATCATTTTTCCAAATATCACAAAGGTTTTTTAGAGATTCTTTAATTTGAGTCACGACAGAATGTTGCAATTTTCCCGACAAAAGATGTGCCTTAACATCATTTAAATAATTAATACAGTCTTGTAAAAGTTCATCGTTAACATTTCTCGTTTCATTTTCACTAGGAACATTAAATATTTGAATGGCATCAGGATCGTCGATATTTTCTTCATTTTCCGGACTAATTACTTGTAAATTATTATTATTATTCGCAGAAGTGATTTCTTTGGAACAAGGAAATTGAAAATTTTGCCTCGAATCAAATGAATTTTTTATCCCATCCGGTTTCTGCACTGCTTCTGCCGTTATCCTAAATAAACTTCTATTTTTCCTCGCAAGAGCTCTTAATGTCCTAATTGACATGCCATATTTTCTTCTTCTACCCTTTCTCAAATCATGATTTTCATCTTGCAAAAACTCTTCAGTCTCACCTAATTTTGAAATCTCTGAAAATCTTCTTTTGATTTCCATCGTAATCGAAGATGGTAGTGGATGATGTTCTGTGTCAGCAATACTAACAGGATGAGTATGAGAAGGGAAATAAGTAACCTTAACAGTTCCATCTTTAAATTGTTTGACATTCATTTGAGACCAACATAACCTTCCAGTTTTAATTCTCCCCTTTTTGTTTCTTCTTTCCGTTTTCCTAGGTGTCGATGTATGAGTCCTGTCACTTCCATCATGTTGACAAACATAATAAGTATTAACAGAAACTCCACTCACGTTTGAACCGGTTTGTTTTGAATAATATGTAAATGTTTCTTCTTCTTCTTTTTCTTTCCATATTAAAAACTCATCGAATGAATTAAAATTTAATATTTTCGGATCTTGAATAATCATGTTGTGATCTTTTTTCATATGCGCAATAAGTTGAGCTTTGTGATAAAATAACAAATTACAATTTGATATTAAACAATGTTTACATTTTTTTTTACCATCTTTACATTTTAATTTATGCTTTTTCATGTCCCATTCCTGAGAATAAGTTCTTCCACATTGACACATGTACCTGGGACTTTTCTCATTGTCGGGACAAAGTTTACAAGAAGTCATGTGCCTTTTTAAATTATAATTCGATGAAAAATGTTTACCGCACTTTGAACATAAAGCAGCTCCTAATGAATGAACCTTGCAATTTGACAAATGTTTTTTCAATAATGTTCTTGAAGCAAATTGTTTATTACATTCTCCACACAATACAGTTTCTTCTAAATTTAATTCAGGTTTGCAAGTTAAATTATTATTTTTGTTTAAATCTTGTTTATAATTATTTTCATCACTATTCCTACTAATATTTTTAATATTATTTTGAGAAAATTTATTTATATCATCATCTTCGACAACCTTGTGTTTGATATTTTTTTTTTCAAGAGTTCCATTAAGCAAAGCTGATAAATTAGTTTTGTGATGTAAATTTGTAGATAACAGTTGGACTTCGATAACTTTTTCTTTACTATCTAAATGATTTAATGATGGTTCGACATTTATAATATCACCATTAGAATCTGCATATTTTGTAACAATGATGTTGGTAGTACTAGATGTATCACCTTTCATTTCATTTTTTATTTTATCTGAATATATTATATTATCAATTTGATGATTGAACTCGCATGAATTAATCACTAATGGTTTGGAACTTTCATAAATATCATTAATGTCCATTGTAAGAAAATCAATAGTACTGTTTCTGTTTAAAAAATTTTACCTAAAAAAAAAAAAAATTTGAAACCTGATTTACCTTGACCTGAAAGGTATTTTAATTAATCGAAATCAATATAGTTTCAAATTAATACAAAAGTCAATAAAAATAATAATAATGACAGTTCAAATAAACACGCAGATAATGTTTTAATTTAAAAATTTAATAAACAAAACCTAACCGAATAGTTTTAAGATAAATGAATAAAAAAAAAAAATCATACTCATAAGATCTGTTAGCTTTTCCAAAAGCTCCTGAAATTTAACCGTTTTCGAAAGTAACACTAACGACTTAATGAAAAATTATTATTTTTTTTTTCCATTTAAAAAAAAAATTATTAACTATATATATATATTGGTTTTGCGTATATGCATATTTATAATTAATTTAAAAAAAAAAATTAACAATTTAATTGTTTTAAACCTGTATAAAGAAAATCACTTATTCAAATCATGGTAAATTATTTTTTAAAAAAATAATAATAATAATAATAATAAGTAAGAGACATAATAAATGATAAATTTGTCTAAAACTTGGTAAATTAGTCTTAATTGTTGATTCTATATAAACCAGAACAACCACCATTGAAAACCAACAATATTCCGTAGAGTAAGAAAATTATTTTATATATTAAATTGAAATCATTTAATTCTAAAAAAATTCATGATTTTATTTTATTATTTATTATTTATTTTTTTTTATTACAAATATTAAATAAAAGTTAATTTAAATTTAAAAAAAATGATTATTAATTATTTATAAGAAATTTTTATTGCAATCTATTCTGTTGATTTATTTCAGTAACATGCGACAGTTTATTATTTTTTTTACATAATTTTAAATGATTCTCGTTTATTATGGATTAGATTTTCGTAAATCTTATTTTTAATATTCTGTTTATTCATTTAAACTATCAAAAAATTGTTTTCATAACATTTATATTACGATGTAAATGTGGTTGAAAAATTTATTATAGTATGGCTAAGCTTCTTCCAAGTATAAAAAATTTTAAACTTATTTTAAACAAAGCACAGAAATACCTGAAATTAGGTAATGAATTATAAAAAAAAGTTGCATAAATCGAGGATTTTTTTTAAATTAAAAAATTTTTAAACATAAATAGTATTTATAATAAATGTTAATTTTTCTAAATTACATATATATATACTCATTTCATTTGTTTTTAATTTTTAGCTTTTATTAATGTAAGAAAACTAAAAGAAAAATCTGGAATGGAAGAAGAATTAACAAAAATAACTGATTATGAACCGCAAAGTAAAAGACTTTGTACCGAAAATATAGAAAATGATTTAAATGATCAAAAATTAAAAATCAGAAAAAGAAATGTAGCACTTTTAATGGCTTACAATGGCTCCAATTATCATGGAATGCAAAAAAATTTGGATTTTAAAACAATCGAATATGAACTTCTTAATGCTTTGGTAAAAGCAAATTTAATTCCTTCCGAAGCAATCGATAATCTGCCATTAATACATTTTCAAAGAGCAGCTAGAACAGATAAAGGTGTATCAGCTGCCAAACAAGTAGTCTCATTCAAAATAGGTATTTTTAGAATAAATGTAAATTTGCAAAATAAATTTTTAAAATCAAAAACAAAATTTTTAATTTTTGCAGCCGAAAACTTTCAAGTTGAAAAAATAAATATGTTTTTACCGGAAGACATCAGAGTGTTCAGTATAAAAAGAGTAACTAAAGGTTTTAATTGTAAAAATCAATGCACTGCTAGAACTTATTCATATACATTACCAACATTTGCTCTGGCGCCTGAATTTCATGATGAATATCCGAAAAATTACAGAATTGATAAATTAACTATTCAAAAAACAAATGAAATTTTGAGCCAATATTTGGGCACTCATCCTTTTCATAATTTCACTTCGAAAAAGTAAGTATTAAAATTTATATAACTACTGTTAAAAGTTCATTGGGATTTCTGTCGCAAAAAAAAGAGTTAAATTACCATGCACACTTACAAGTAAAAAAAAATTTTGGTAGTTTTACATTAAAATTATACTGTACTAATTTAGAAATTTAATACTCTAATTGTATACTAAATTTAATGCTAAATGTTTGTACACTAAGTGAAATTTGTAATTCTATACTTTATTGTAATAGGGATGGAAGAGATCCAAGTGCTAAAAGATATATTATGAGTTTTGAAGCGGAGGAACCTTTTTTAGAAAATGAAGAAGAATTTATTACTCTAAAAGTTAAAGGTCAAAGTTTTATGTTGCATCAAATAAGAAAAATGGTGGGTTACACAATAGCAGTTATGAAAGGTTTCGCTTCTGAAGCCATACAATCTAAAATATGGACAAACGAGAAAGTATCTCTACCAATGGCTCCAGGTTTAGGTTTAGTTTTAGAAGATGTTCATTATGATAAATATAATAAAAAATTTGGAAGTGATGGCATGCACCATCCTCTTACATGGGAGGAAGTATGCAACGAATTAAAAGAATTTAGAAGAAAAAAAATTTTTTCAAATATTATTTCTGTCGAAATGGAGAGTCAACAGTATCCTTTTGAAAATTTTAAAATTTAAAATTTCTTCTTCTTTTTTTTTTTTTTTTTTCTTATCATCATAATAAATTACTCGAAATTCAACTTGTAATTAAATTTTTTTTATGATTCTTTAATAAAATTTATATATTTATCTTTAAAATTTTTCTTAACAATTTTGTAGAATGTTTAATTGGTTGCAATTCATGCCAAAACATAAGTTTGAACTTACTGAAGATGAACTGGAGATGAACAATAAAAAGGAAGAATCACTAGATGAAAACAGTGCAGTATATTCATAACTATTCAGTTGGAATGTAAGGTCTAATTGTTATCCATTTAAATCTTCATTCCTTTATATTGAAACTCATGAAAATACATCTGAAAAATTTACTTTTTTTTTTTATTTAAATTTACAGAAAATTTTAAAAAAAAAAATGTAATTAAATTTTTCTACCGATTTTAACAATAAATGATAATTTTTTAATTGTTCAGTAAAAAGCGAATAATTTGTTTTAAAAAAATTTAACCCATCTATTAAACCCTACAACATTTATTTTATAATCTTTTAAATATTTTATAATTTTTATTATTGGTTTTATAAGTTAAAAGTCAGTTATATATACACATAATATAAAAATTACTTCTCGAACAAAAGAAATAATGGCATAAATATCAAAGTTCAACTGTTTTCTAAGCAAAAATAAGAATTTTTTACATATTTTTCGGTAATTAGTAAAATATTGATATTAAAATTAAACAATCTAAAAGTCACCATCGTTTATCTAAAACCATCATGAGTTTTTTTTTTTGTCTGAATATAGTACTAAAATTAGACAAATAAAAATTTTTTTTTTTGAAATCAAGTCCTTACCAATTGTAAACTGATTTTTAATTGATTTTTTTCAACCACTTTAAGAAAAAAAGAGAATAAATTACATCACAAAATTAAAAAGGATAAAAAAACGTTAAGAGAGTAAAATCACTAGTTTTAAAAAAAAAAAAGGTTTGAATTAAAGCAAAAAAAACCGTTAATTCATAACCGACTCGAAAAGATTTTTGCTCAAATTTAAAAATTAAGCGCAAAAGCCGTATTACTCATAAACCTTAATTATAAAACCTTAGAGAACCGCAAAAATTTTCCTTTTAAGCAAATATATAAGAGATAAAAATATTCTTCATCTGAAAATTTAAAACCGTTTCTAATCTCTAATCCCTCTTACAGACAAATGAAATTTGCTCCGCCATATTTTGTTATTAATTAGTAGCTTTCTTTTCAAATTTATTAATATTTTCAAAAACCAAAAAAGATTTTATATATATATATATATCTCCTCTAAATTTTTTGCATCAAATGTAAAAACTCTAACTGATCGCTTAACAAATTTAATTATTACTACGCCTCTTAAAAATAAAAATTATAGTATTTTTTTTTCAAGTTGATAAAATTTCTATGACCTGCATATCCATTTTCTTAGATTAAAAATTCACCAGAGGCTTTCAGATATAAAATAACAGTCTGTCAAAAAAAAAAGCATAAAATTCTTTTTTAAAAAAACTTTCCTACTGTTTTAAAAACCTGACCTTTAACCTTTAATTGGGTTTTTGTATTCTGTAACTGTACAACAATTTAAATCCATGCTTTAACTATCTATTGATACTTCTAGAAGGAATTACTTCTATAAACAATACAGTAATCTTTGAATAATGTTCTTCATTTAAAAATCTTACTCCTTTCCATATTTATTTACAATTTATTTATTTAAATAATTTTTATTTTAAAATTAAAGAAAAAAAAATTTGACATGATATTATAATGCTACGGGGTATTCTAATTTTCCCTTTTTTTCTCATATTTTTATAAATATTCTAAATAATTAAGTGTAATAATTCTTATTGTAAATGCATTCTTTTATAACTGCTTAATTTCATTACATATTAATTACTTAAAAATAACTGAACACATTTCGGTAAATCATATACACATACTACTTTTACTCTCGGTAAGTTTACTTATACACTAATAGTTAATTTTTATAATAATCTATTAACAAAAAAAAAAAAAAAAAAAAAAAAAAAAAAAAAAAAAAAAAAGTTACCTGAGGAATTATAATAGTAATATAAGATTTAGGAAAATTACAGTTTTGTTCTAGGCTCACATGAGACAAATATTGAATTAGCTTTAGATTTAGCCAAATCTGATGCAGTTTTTGCAACATCTCTAAGCTTTTCAGTTTTTGATGCGATATTAGAATTTTCTTCAATTGTAACTGTAGAAGCATTTTGTGGAAACATTCCGGAAAGAACATAATTAAATCCTGTTATCATTTTTTGACAGTTTCTACGAAACCTCTCCAACCCGAAAGCAATTATTGCTTTTCTAAATCCAAACACTTGAGAATCAATCCAAGCAGAGCGATAAGCAACAGTCCAATTAGAATTTTCTTGACTTGTCTTATAAGTAACTTTCTCAACCACACTCTGAAATATAAAATACATACAAATAATTATTTTTTTAAAATTTTAAAGTTCATGAAAAATTATTATAAAAAATTTCGTAAAGAAAAATGTAATCAACGAACATTTACATCAAATCATGTAAATTACATAAAAATTTAATATTCAAATTAGAAAAATTAGAAATTCAATTAAATTTAAAAAATTGCATAATGAAAATGAGCAATTTCCAAGTGAACAATCCTAACTTAAATTGCAACAATATTACATTATCATCATTATTACTAATAAATTACTTATAAATAACTGTTAATAACTTTTTAAAAAATCTGAATCAGATTTTCAGAGAAAAACAAATTTGCAAAAGAAGTAGAAAAAGATTTAAAATGCAATTTTGAAATTGGAAATAACCAGAATATAAAAAATAAAAATTAATTAGGTCACTATGAAACCACACATACATATTTGTTACAAAAAAAATTTGAAGAAAATTATCAAAAATTTAAGTAGTACACTAAGATCACATTTTTCAACAAAAAAAATTTAACAGAAATCACCACTAAAATTTATTTTTCTATTCCTACAAACTCAGGTAGAAACCTGGATGTTTAAAACCATGAAGAAATACTTACAAATACACACACACACACAGTAATTTTCGCAAAAAATATTTTTAGGTTATAAAACAAATAAAGATAATAAAATATACTTTCCATTATCCTTGCTAATCCAATGTTTCTTGTATAAGTCACTAACAACTTTTCATTTGGGTCAACTATTGATTCTTCAATTATTTTAACTACCCTAGTACTAATAAATCTTTCACCCCATTTTGGAACTCTATTTGTTTTTGTCAATATCCTTTTCGAATAAAGTTTACCATCTTTCACTTCTCTCTGAATAGTATCTTCCGTCAAAACGTGAGAACTAAAATTAAATATTTTTCATTCAGCCAAAAATATGAGAATACATTAGAAATCAAATTGAAAATTTACCTTTGAGGATTCGGATATCTTTTCCAAAATCCTTGAGCAACCTGTTCCCAAGTATAATGAAAAACAGTAGAATTTTCATAATACTTCATAATGAATTAAGAGATTTTATATATATATTATAACTAAAAACAAAATTATTTGAAAAATATATTATTTTTATCTGCAGGCCGTAAAACATAATATTTCAAATATTTTTTTTCATGTTATCAGCAAAATTATATTATTATCATTTTTCCTAAATTAATTTTACTACACCCTGCATAATATAAGAATGAAACGAAATTTTTTACTTAATTACGACGATTATATATTATTTTATAAATACCTTTGTTACAGATGTTAAATCATAAAATTCTATTTTACTTGGCAGCTAAAAATAATTCGAAATTGTGAAATAATAGTTAAATTCCATGCTGAATTTACTCAAGGAGCAGAACAAAATTTCTCTTAAAACTATAGTAGCCAATGTTACCACTCTTACTAACCCCAGCTAAATTTAATTGTTTTTAACTCTATAAGCAGACGATATTATATAAACTACCGTTTGTTTAGCGTTAACGGTTGAAAAAGCGGGAACACCCACTTTTTTTTCACTTAATGACTAAAATTTGTTTTGTTTTTAAATATAATTACTAGCGCAAATATAATAATATTAATTTATGACAAAAAAAGTTTAAATATATATTTGTTTCTATTAATATTACATAAAAGTATACGAGTTAAATATGGAAAAACTAATAAACATTAAAGAACTTACTCCATTTATTACAAATTTGATTGAAAAAGTAAGTAAAATCATTTCGATTTTATTTTTATTTTAAATTATGTATGAATTAACTATTCGTGCCGTACAATCCACGAAAATTATATTTTAAACACAAATATATTAACTTTTTATTTACATTTTTGCTTGTACTTAACGTTCTGTAAGTATTTTAAATTATTAAGAGTATCGAATAAAAAAAAAATTTTCAAAAAAATTAATTTTTTTTTTTTTTTTTACCGTTAAAAATATTGTAATTTTATAATTTGAATCCTAGATTCAATTACTGGATTCCACCTTGGCAACAAGGGAAAAGAAAATAAATTGTGTTGAAGAAATAAATAACATAGTCGCAGATATTCACAAAGTTTTTGTTTCTTCTTTTATAAATGTTGACGATAATGAAAACAATAAAATATTAAAGGAAAAAACAGAAAGAATTTTTAGCAGATTCGAATGGAATGCTAATGTAGCCGTTTCTCCAGATGAATTTCAAAAACATTCTGGCAACATAAAAACATTTATGTCATCTGTTTTAAAATTATTGGGAACCAAAGGATGTGGAATTTTAATTATTGAAATTTACCTTAAATTATGTTCTGATATTGGTTATCAAATGGAAACCATGGAAAGAAATAACCAAAAAATAGAATGTAACAATTTTTCAGCATTGTTTGATAGTATTGTTGCGACAATTCACATCTTACAAAAATATTGGTATCTGACTTTTGTAAACAGTCAAAAAAATTTAATCGCTCTTTGTTTAAGTCAAATTTGCAAGATATTACCTTTCTTATTGAAAATGATCGAAGTAAACAATTCATTTAATGCAAAATTTTCTCTGAAATTATTAAATCAGTGTTTCAATAAATTATCAAAAGTTGTTTTTAATGATGAAAAAAAAGAAACTGAGAATTGCGATCAAGAGTTTTTAAATTTAATGAATTTTTGCATAAAAAAATTCAATAACTTATCGGAAAATTTTCTCGATTTAAAAAGTTACATTGAAAATGCAGAAGAAACTATAAAATTAGTAAAACCGATAATCGATGAGATTTTATGTTATGCTATGTCGATTGCTCACGTCACAAAATCTGAAATTTATCATTCTGTTATTATGAATAGTTGTTCAAAGGTAAACATACTTTTGTATAAAGTAGTAAATTTGAAAATTTATCTAACAATTTAAAAAAATTTAAAAACAGGTGTTACAAGATTTTAAAGACTTAAACGAAAGTTTTGTTCAAAAAGACATAAATAAAATCAAACTGAATGCTTTATCGATTGGAGAATCCATTTGCAACGTGGAAAGACAAGTCAACACAGCTGTATTGTATTTAGTTTTGGATGTTTTTTCTGGAATAAATTGCCCGTTAAAAAACCTAATTGAAAAATGTAAAACGGAAATGTTCAATAATAATAAAACAATGGATGATTTAAATAATTTAGTGTCCGAATTCGATTTACAAATGGATAAAATAATGCAAATTGGTTTTTTTACCATTTCCTGCTCTAACAATATTAACAGTATGTGTTTATTTATTTATTTATTTTTTGAAACGTTTAAACATCTTACTTTTTCAGTCTTTATAATTAAATAAATTATTGTCTCTTGTAGGAAATTTAAGGATTCTGAGTTGTCTTACTTGTTTGGAAACATTAGAAACTGAACTTATTCCATGTTTAACTGAATTATATATTGATTGCAACCCGAATAGTAAATCAAACTTTCAGTACTTGATTGATTTTTGGTTAACAGAATTAACAGAATTAAAAATTTTAATTGATTCTATCATAGATCCAGCCAGTTTTTGCGAAGTATTTTTTATTTTATGTCCTATTTTAAAATTTTTAAACATTTTCATATAACTTTGTAGTCTTTTAAAATTTTTTTTAAATTTTAGGTTGTAGTCAAACAAATACGATGTCAAATTGAAAATTTAAAAAATGAATATGATTCGATAAATGCTACTACTGTACTATATAAAATTGTCAGATACTCGAGAAAATTATTAAAAACTGTTAAGACAAGCCTAAAGGATGATAGTGACATTCCTGAAGGAACAGAGAAATTAATTCATTGCGTTCAATTAAGTAAGATTTACATGAAAAAAAAAAAATTTTAAGGAAAAAAAAAAAAAGATAAAAACATAATTTACTTATAACTTATTTTAGGTATACAAGAATGTGAGGGCATTTTAAAATTATTAAAAAAAAATGATGATGATAAAGTGTTGGAAAGAGCATTGAAAAGAGGAGAATACTTATTACAAACTGTGTCGGAATTGTCTTTAAATTTATTCGAATTAGCTTATAATGAAAATATGAAGACACAATTAACAGGTACGATTTAAAAAAAGAAAATTGGGAAATTTAATTTAATAATAATAATGAAAAATTACAATTTTTTGTTTTTTTTATAGATAATGATTTTAATACTTCATGCAATTTAAAAGCTTTAATCCCTCAAAAAGATTATTTCAAATTGTGTACTAATTCTTCTGATGAAAAAATATCAAGTCCTACTAGTACAGAAATTTTAACCCCTTATATTAATGAGGGTGTGTTAAGAAGTAAAAAAAGAAATTTATTCTATTCTACACCATCAGAAAAAGAAGTAAGTATTATTATGTTAATTTAAATTTTTGTGTTATACATATATAAAGCCTAATTATAAAATTTTTCAGGAAAATTTAAATGAAAATCGACAAAAAAATTTAGATAAGATTAAATTAAATTGGAACAATACTCCGAAATCAATGAAAAGAAGTCGTTGTTGCAAACCGTTAAATTTAAATTTAGAACTTGAAAATAATATAGATTTGGAATTGACATCGATATTACAAAATTTAACTTGTCTAAGACAAACCTTACCTTCAAACACGAATAAATCAATCGAAACGGATGTAAATGAATGTCGGCAAAAAAAAAAAGATGCCATTTGCGACACCGATAATGTAACACAACCCATATTGAAATCGAGCGGATGCTGTGCAAATTTCAATTCAGAAGAAAATGAAAAAAACTCAATGGATGATGATAATTTGACCGAAAATAACATCACACAAGAAGATGAAAATATAAATTTTTCCGATTCTCGATTAAGAAATAATTTATTAAATTCATTAGATTCTCTAACGAAAAATTCAAGTTTAGATTGTCCGAAATCCAATTCCGAATGCGAATTAAATACGTTTGAAAGATTAAACGATATAAAATTTGTTGAAAAAAAAATTGATTACATTAATAATTATGAAAAAAAAAATTTCATACCTTAACAAATTGTTGTTGTTCCTTTTTAAAAGTTGACTTTTTTTTTTTTAAATTAAAAACTTGTACATATTAAAATAAGATTAAAGTTTTTTAAAAAATATATGAAAAAAAATGACAAAACTAATCTTAAAATTTTTTTTTTATTTATGAAATTTATCATAAATTAATAAAGTTTACATACATAATTACTCTAAGGAATTGCCACTATGGGATCTTAAAACTATTTTAATTAAGCAAATATCACTGTAAGTATGAAGAGTATATAAGTTTGAAATGGAATAAGTGTAAGTATATATATATATATGTATATATAAAATTATAATTATAATATTATGGGATGATGTAGTAGTATAAGTTTTTCATAAACGAAGATAAATAATTGCATTGTAAAAATTACTTTTTAGGATTTTGTTTCAATTGAAGAATGATTGAACGCATTCTAGAAACATCTTTGCTACTTTTGCTTGATTTAGGATTAAAATCGCACAATTTAGATATTCTCTCCCATTCAGTGCCTGGTTGTATTGCATCAATATCGGCAACAAATTCTTTTTCAGCATTCCTAAAAAATTTGTTTTTTTTTTTTATCTTAATTATTTTATATATACGTTTCGAATAAAATTTTTTTTTTTTTTTTTTTTTTCGAAAGCTTATTTTTGAAGTATTTATTTTTTTTACTTACATAGCAGATTCCCTGAGATTGCATTAAAAATAATTTTAAAATTTGTTAATATAAAACACAGATGGATAGTCTAATAAAATAAGTCATGTAAATATGTATAAATAAATAAATTCTTACCTGTTTGCCGCTTTTGTTTTTGTAATTAAATCTTCATGATGACGATACCATTCTTCTAATTCTTTTTTAGCAGCCAACCGCCATTCTTCTTTTTTCTTTTCTTCGTTGGCATCTTTAAATAAAAAAAAAAGAAAATTCAATTTATTTTATGCATGAAAATTAATTTAAAATATAAAAAAAACTTTTAAAAAATTATTTTTAATCTCAACACACCTTTCTCTTCTAAACGTCTTTTTTGCTCTTCTCTCCATTTTTTTATTTTTTCCGGTTCTTCACGTACAGGTTTAGGAGTAGGTGTAATATTGGTTGTTTCTGTAAAAAAAAAAAAAAAAAAAAAATTAGCTAATAAAGTTCTAAATTATAAAAATGAAATGAAAAAAAAAAAATTTTGATTTAAAATTATATAATACCTGGTTGGGGAGCAGCAACTTCATTATTTAACGAGTCATTTGGTAGATCTTCTTTGACAACTTCTGGTAGCGAAAAAAAAAAAAAAAATTAAAACCATTAATTTTAAAATAAATTTTTTTTTAATAAATTATAAAATAAATTATAGAATAAAAAGTGAAACTGTTAATCGAGATTATAACTTCCTTTGCATTAAATAAAAAAAAGTGAATGATAAAAAAAACAATTTTGAATTGATATCGAAAACATTTTAGAAATTAAAAAATTGAAAAAAATTAAATGAAAATCATAAAATTATTTAAAATTGTGCAATTAAAAATATTAAAGCTTAAAATTTAAGGAGTCTACAATATTGTACCTACCCCAAGAAGCTAATTCTTGCTCGCTAGTTTTGGAAATATTAGTTTGTTCAGCCCCATCCTCGGTATTATTTGTTTCAGTTATGTCAGAAGAAACATCATTAGATTGTGCAAAGCCATCTAAAGTGTACCAATAACAAAAGATGCAACTTAAAGTGTTTTTTTTTATTCAAACTTTAAAGAATATTGATAATGTAACATCAAAAAACTTAAATAATTTAAGTTCAAGCAAAATTTTTTAAAATAAATACAAACATCGAATATATTTAAAAAAAAAAAAAAAAAAAAATTTTTTTGTTAAATAAAGCTACATGCTCAAATAAAAATAATATTACTTAATAATTAAAAATCAAACAAACAAATAATTGAAATAAAGCATATTTTACAAAAATATATAGATAATATTGATGAATTCATTTAAAAATAAGTTTTTTGTAAAAAAACAATTTTTACAGAATAATAGTATATAGACTTACCATTTGTATTTGGATTGAATGTGGCTGGATTTAAATCATCTTCCAATCCAGCTAAATCATTTTGTTCTCTTGCTAAAAAATCTGCTGCTGGGTCGACATCAGTGAAATTGTCACCAAAATTTTCCATTGTGACCTTATATAAATTATTCTTTTACAATGAATTATTTTATGATGGGAATGTTTTTTTTAAGCGAAAGAAATAGTTTTGATTTTGTTTTATTTCTAAAAAAATTATACATAAATAACTTAAAAAATGTCATTGACAAATATGATTAGATTTTTGTGACCTAATAAAAATTATTCTAAATACATCATTAACTAAAATAATGTTATGTACTTTTACAAGCTTTGACGATACGAAT